GAAGTTAAGGTCCAGGTGCGGAGAATATGGAACTTTCCCATATATATATATATATATGTAGATATAGTGACGTTACGCTATTGTTTTCTCCAAAGCTCCCCAAGGGCCTCATTGAAATTTACAAAAGGTCCCCTTGTCTGAGTTGATTAAATTGCTTAACAATGCATGGAAGGTGTTCTCCCCCCCAGTGGATCTCCCACATTCAAAGGCGACTCCCAACTTTTCTTTCAACTAATAAGAGGTCCCGGTGATGTGTTTTGCGGGGGGGGTGGGGATTAAGCAGGCAGTTGCTTGCCGCACCATGGGAAATAGAGGCATCGGTTCGCTTTGTACAAGCAAGGCAAATTCCACTATCAACACCTTCATGAACGAACCCCAGCTCAAGTGGATTGGCCAAAAAAGTAGCCACACTTGTTGGTTGACACTAAAACGGGGGCTCATATGGGTATGCTGCTTTCTTCTGAGGGTACTCTATTTGGTGGGTTTTAGAGGGACACCAAAAGAAAACCCACCATTTGGAGCATGCCCTTATTCTAAGACACACCCAAATAATCATTGTTTGGCTAAGGAGTCCTCATCTAACTTGGGTCAACCAGGATTTTGCAAAGAGTGGGACACTCTTTGATGGCGCAGCGTCATTAAATGCATGTCATTGGGACTCGAGGCCTACTGGCAGACATGTTTCTTCTGCACGATTCGTTCTTGCTGGGCCTGCAAGCCTTTAAGTCGCACTTCCCGAGTTTTTGGGCTTTAGTCCATTGTTGGGTTGCAGTGTTTTCAGGGTACTTGGAGCCCTGAGTGTGAATCAAATCAAGGCAGGTCGCTGGCCTGGTTTTCTCTGAGGACATATATACTAATGAATATGTCTTCCTCCGCGCTTGCCCAAGAACATTGACACTCCTGTCCACATTCACTAAACCTGAACATGGAAAACCATGTCAGAAGGCTCGAGATTTCAAGGGCATTGTCAGGTATGTCTTGTGCATGAAGATTCTAGACCACATACATCATTGGAGCACAATTCCTTTCAAGCTTATGTTGTTGGTATTTTCTCGTATCCATCCCTCCCAAGACCCATATCTGAAAATGCCAACTTGAAGATCCCCGCCTGGTGAGTACGTCGTGCATTGCGTCGAGGCAGTCAAAGGTGCTGATGGCTTCATAGTGCATCAGCAGCTTGACCACGTGCTCCGGTGGATCTACCACCTTCCTGACGAACTGCCCCTCGCATTTCTGAATTTCTGCATCTGGGTGATACGGATTCACAGCGTGGCAAGCAAAGACATGCAGGACAGGTCACCCCAAATGGTTCATGATGGTCCTTGGCCTCTGATAGTCACTGGGTTGCTGTAGCTCTCATTGCCATGGCTGAATTGGGACTTGGTATTCACAAGCTGGAAGCTTGGGTGCATGGGCTTCGTGATTTTATTTTATTTTTTGGGGGAAGGCCTGGGCTTTGTGGGCGAACCACCCCCAAATCCACCAACTAGGTTTGTCCAGCATTCGCACAAACAACTATGCTAGGCTTGCCCTGCAAATCAGTCCGCCCGGAGACCCTTCAGTTCGCCTCAAAAGGAGCCCTAAAGAAAGAAAGGGACCCCAATCGAAGTGACCGTTGCTGGGTAAAGTCCAAAATAACAGCCCCCCCCACTCAAGGCGTCTCTGGGATGGGGCTTGTCATGGACGTTACGCTTTTACCACTTAAGCGGAGTTTACTTACAAGCTTACATGCGTCATTGTTTGTTCGCAGCTCGCATCCATGGAACCTTTCATATACCTTCACATATGCCTTACAATGCCTCACACCTCCTTCATCTAGGTTCTCCAGTAGACAGGTTAGAACAAGGGTACCAATTTTTCTGACTATTTAAGTAGCGGAACCCTCCCAACCAAAAAAGAGACGGTAAAAGGGCACCAATTGCTGGGGGACCTAGCCATGCATCCCAGTTGGTCAAGGTCCAGCTGGGTTGTGGGGTGACCCAATGATTCCTACCGATCAGCGCGGCTCAGCCCGCCTCCTGCCAGCTCTCTCGCAGAGGCTGTGCAGCTCGGCCCTGAGCCTTGCGCCAACTCCATATGGAAAGCCGGTTCCTTTCTGCTCTGCGAAAGTGTTTTACTTTCAGTGGTGTAATGGAAAACCTAAGTTGGCAAAAAATTAAAGCCCTAACATCCAAGCAACATGCACCAAAGAGCAGAGAAGCTGATGCTTGATCCAGCCCATGGGTATAAAATTGGAAAAGACGGTTTCAATCGGTTTCTGTTTTTGCCAAGGGCAATTAATTTCTACCCTTGTGCGATCCTTTCTTTGGAACAACTTGTCCAAAATGGTTTCTATCCCGGCGAATGGTTGGACCTCTGGGATCGTGCGCTTTGGCGCTTGGCCACCTGGGCTGTGACAAAATAATCATCCTATGCCTGGGTAGTGTCGTTTTATAAGCCGTGCTAAGCACCACAGCCGAGGAAGTGTGGCCACATTTGCCACTTGGAACAGGAACTCAACAGCTCACCTTACCCGCCATCGGTGGTTGGACTGGTGGTTTGGATTTGGATTCAAGCCCCTTGCCGAGGACACCACAAGCGAAAGCGACCATTGACCCTTCAAAGCACCAGGTAAATGGAGCCTGACACAGGCCAAAGGGCACACGGCAAACAGAAGCAACACGCAAAAGGAAGGTCACAAGAAAGCAACAGTACAGCACAGGACATGGTAAATGGTAATTAACAAGGACAACCTCTCCTAGAACTTTCTAGAAGTGGTGTTCATCCTTGCTTAGATATGGGTGTTGGTCAAACATAGGTTGTGCCCTGGCAAATGGACAAGTAGATGTAAAACCTGCGGTCCATATCCTGGTGGCGACTAATCTACTAGGCTTCAGAGGTTCAAATCCGTCGGTTCGGCTCCAAAACGGCTAAGGGTTGCTTGGTAAAGAAAGAATCAGGCTTATATTTGTTTTTTCGCACCCTGGGAAAGAAAAAGTATCTCCGGTAGTGACAGATTCCCTTTGAAACCCACCAGGGAAAATAAAACACACTTGCTGACAGCAGTGATAGATGAACCTTTTTGGCTCCGGAGGCCAGCCTCGAACAAATAAAACCACCTAGGTCCTCCAGTAGAAAGGATAGAACCAAAAAGCAACAAAGCAAACGTGGCTGAAACCCGAAACGGAACTGAAGTGAGAAAAGGCCATTCAGTCACACAAACGACCCTTAGGTGCCTAAGCCCCCAGCGAAGGCTAGGTCCTCTAGTAGAGCGGTTAGAACAAGGGTACCCTTGTTTCTGTAGTCTATTATGGTAGGAGAACCCTCCCAACCAAAAAAGAATCGGGAGAGAAGGGCAGCTTTTGGGGGACCTAGACAACAAACCAGGGGAGCCCTCGGAAAAAAAAAAGAGCACGAAACACGCCGAGCGATTCTGAAGGCCGTGCCACTGCTTCAAGGGCCCCGTGGGGGTCAGGAGCACCTCCGCGTCCTCTGGCGCCGTGGGGGTGGAGAAGTGCGCGCTGCGCAGCACGGGGCGGCTGCGAAGCAAGGCCACCAGCTGCTCGTTCACCACCTACAGTCATTCCAGGGTACCTTCCATTTCCATTCTTTCCACTGATCTTTCCTAGGTCATCCAGTAGAGAGGTTAGAATAAGGGCGCCAACTTTTGTTGTAGTCGATTTTAGGAACCCGCCCAACCAAAAGGGCACTACGGGACCTAGAAAGGGTACCTTCCATTTCCATTCTTTCCAGGGATCCTTTTTCAACCAAACCTCCGGAAACACAGGTTGAAAACGGATCCGGTTTTCGAAAAGAGCCCTGGTTGAAAAGAATGGATAAGGAATCAGCCCCTCGAGTCATGGACCCATGGGCGAAAGGAGGGGTCCGTGGAGCCCTCCCCATCGCCCCCCAGGGTCCATGATGCAACAGCATCGCTCAAAGCCGTCTAGAACTGGTGGATTGGTGGAGCTGGAATTTGAACGGGCGCCTGGTTCTTGCTGAAGATACATGGGGAACCCCTCCTTAACCACCGAACCACCAATCCAAGCCGATTAGAGGGAAGCTGATCAAACATTCCCATAGAAAGCTAGACAAAAACACAAAGCAAACATACGAGACGTCCGCCCGCAAAGCCTAGACCGGGGGCTGGGGCTTGTGCTTGTTTTATTTACCCCACACTGTGGATGGTTTGGCGAAATCTGCTTCTCGCACCACCGTTCCAGCCAACAGGAAACTATCAGGGAAACCGAAGCCATTCATATCGATGGAATCCTCCCACGGGTGTAAGTCTGAGCTCCATCAATTTGGGCTGAGGATTGCCATAACGCCCAAACGCGTCAGCGGCCATGGGGCAAAAATCATTTGCCCACAGTCTCTCTCTCTCTCTCTCTCTCTCTGTCTCTCTTGTTTGTTGATTTACCCCCCACCCCCTCCAAAAAAAACTGCGCAAAAACAAAACCTTTTTTCCACCCGTCGGTGTCTGCCCGGCACGAAAAAAACACACACACGGAAAAAAAAAAAAAAGCGCCGAAAAGATTCGATCCAAAACGCGCCTGAAAGTCCTTCTCCGCCTCCAGGCGAGGCCACAAGCTGAAGGCGTCCGCCTCGGAGTCTGCCGGGGTGTGCTCTTCCAACAAATATGCCGCATGGGGTGATCTGGGTGTGGCTCAAAATTAAACAGGAGGAGGGGCAAACCGCAGGCTTGGTCCGTGTTTCCACTTACCCGGGGGTTCCATTTTGGAATTCCGGTTTTTTGAGCCACAGCCATCTCTGCTGGCTAGGTCCTCCAGATGGCTTGGGATGACAATCCTTGGGTAAATAATGGCTCCCTGGCTGAGTGGATGGCCCACAAAAAAGGTCCAAACTTTATATTTACCACTAACATGGTCTTCCCAAAAAGTTTAAAGTTCATGAACTCAGGAAGTGAGACAATGGTGGCTATATATATATATAAACCTCCCCATGGGTGTTTTTTCCATTTTAGTTTGAACTGCAGGGACTCAACGCAGAGGTCCCTGGGAGGAAAAGGGCGAACTTGAGGATCGGTCCAGAGAGGATCGAAGAAGTTGGTATCCGATTTGTTGTCTGTTTTGTCCATTTTAGTAGGGGGTTCCGCCTCCCCCAAGAAAGAATCAAAGGGTGAAAGGGCCCAAGACTGGGGGACCTAGTTGGTATGGGCTTGCAAAAAAAAAAAAAACGGCTTTGTTATTGCAGCCCAGTAAAAATGAACAGAACCAACAAGCTAAAAACAAAAATAAACACGTGCCAAGAACAGTGAAGGTGTTTGTGCCTGTTGATTCCTCCTGAAAACCAACCGAACCAAAGGGGATGAAAGGGCGACTCTCCAAAAAGACAGGCCCATATGAGTGTTCTTTATGTCTGTTTGGGAATGCATCTTTGCACAGAACATGTTTTTGTTGAAACAGCTCGGATTGTCCGTGTTCACAAAAAGTGAAACACTTTTTTGAGAGGGGTCAACGGCAACCCAGCAAAGAAGGACATTTTCGGGTTTCCCACTTGCCGTTGACACGAGGGGTTGAAATCCGCAATCCGCCGGTCTATGCCCGGGTTGTATCCCAAACAGCAACTGGGACCCGGAACAGCCTCCGGATCCGAAACACTCTGGGGCTCATCTGGGGAGGGAACCCAAAGCTTCCAGGGGAAAACGATTGAATCCTCGACAAGCAAAAATAAACAAAAGCCCATACGAACCTGCGAACAAAAGAAAGCCAACCTGCAACATTCGCGAAGGCCTATTGAAAACCGCTGCGCTTGCTGTCCGCCCTTTGCTCTCTCTTTTGCGTTGGGACCAAGGAGGTCTGTACGCCCTGTCCACACCCCGGTTTGATAAATAGAAAATGTCCTGAATCGTCAAACTTCGGGCCTCCGTCCTTTAAGGACCCGAAAGTTCAAGGTGAACCTTCGTGAAGATCTGTTGGCCTTTCTGACTTCACAAAGGGTTGACGGATAGGTCGACCGGTTTTGGAGAACTGGGCGTGTCCTTTCTGGGAGTTGGCACCCCTTATGGTGCAACGGGAGGCCCAAAGGACCGCCATTTGGGTGTGGCTCTAAATTAAACAGCCAGGGTTACACAGGGTTTGGTCCATGTTTCCACTTCGCAGGGTTCCATTTTTGTCCCGGTTTTTTGAGCCACAGCCATTTGAGGTCCCCAAAAAGCAACAACTGAGTTCAACGCCTTCTGTGCCAGGGAACATGGATATGGAACTCCTCAACTCCTGTGCCCATGGCGGGATCAACCCCCACTACTTTGTCAACCGAAATGGAAGTCCCAGTGCGCAAACTTCTGGAAGATGAGCTTCCCCTAGAGAAGAGATGCGGGTACATTGTTGGAAAACCAAGAGTAATGCGTTATTTTTGAGGAGGGGGGGGCTAAAACAAAACACACACACACCCTGGTATACCCCCTTTGCAGTTCCATGTTACGTGGACAAAGTTAGGGCGTTTAGGTCTCACTTTTGGCCGTGCCAGCCAGGTCGCCAGCGAGCTTTCCGCCAGGTGCGTCAAGGCGTCAGCGTACACTTGGGGAACCACCTCGCGGGAGATGCGTGCGGCGATCTACCACTCACTTCCTGAGTGGACGGCCCAACTTTTAGTTTAGCACTACAACAGTCTTTCCCAACAAGTGTAAAGTCCAGGAACTCAGGAAGTGACACCATGGTTTTCCAGACTCCTGTAGCTCCTTTCAAACTCCTTTCCCTCTTTCTGGCAAATTTGGTACCCCCACTTGGCTCCCTTCCAACCACCAGCTGTGCACATCCGGAGAACCCACCCAGGCCCCTCCCTTAGGGCAACTCAAGGTCTGCTTGGCGGTCAACGGAAGCCCCAAGGCCGGAAGATGCCGGAAGCCTGTGCTTTGGCCTTCGCAGTTTCTCTGCCCTGAAGCAACGGTGGAAGGGCAAGGAAGCAAAAGAAATAGTGCACCCAACCAGGCGCACGAAAACACCATCCTCAGAAAGCCTACCTCGAAAGGACCCCTACACTTGTGGGATGACTTCCACAAAAAGGACCTGACACTTTTGGGATGTCGTGCATTTGAACATCCAAACAAATCGTCTTAAGCCCCGAGGAAGCAACAAATCCATCAGTGAAATCGATTCCCTTTTGAGCAAACAAGGGCAAATACAAATGAAAAACAATGTTCTCTTGGCCCAACGGAAAACAGTGAAATCGATCTCTTTGAAGCCAACCAGAGACAATCAAAAATGAAAAAACATATTCATTTCAGCCAATGGAAAACGTGCAATACAATCCTTGGCCCAACCTCCCCGATGATGTGCTCATTCCAGTCGACCCAGGTCCGGTGGTTGCCGTCCAGGTCCTCCGCGTGCCGCCAAATGCCGCGGCGGTTGTCTTGCAGCGCGAAGCCCGCGTGCACATGCACCGGCAGTCCTGCCGTTGTCGGGGAAAAAGGCAACAGTGACCGGCCAAAATGCCAAACAACCAGCCAACAGACAAAACAACAACAAACAACAACAAACAACAACAAACAACACCAACCAACAAACAAACAAATTCACAATATATGCAAACAACTAACTCAAAACAAAGCAGCACAGTCAAAACAAAGCAAAACCAAACAAAACACAACCAAACCAAACATCAAACAAACAAACAAACAAACAAACACGGAGATCCTGTCTTCACGGAGAGCGGTAAGTGGGAAAAGACCAGGCCATCGCAAGGCGCGTCCAGCGGCAGAGCCAGGCCTGCACTTTCATGGATCATACTGTGGATGGTTGCGAGATCCAGTTCGGACCACCTAAACCATGGTTGAAACAATGATTTCTTGGGGGTTGCAGGGGAATATCCATTCCAGGGCTTTTTGTGTGGGGCAATCGAATCATTCCATGGTTAGGGGGTGGGGGTTGGGGTGGGGGGTGCGGGTGGGGGTGGAGACACTCTTCTAAGGGTAGCTTCCATTTCAATTCTTTCCAGGGATCCGGATCTTTCTAGAAAGCCACCAAAAACCCTGGGAAAACAGCTGGTGGTTGAAAAAAACTATGGTTGAAAGGAATGTATCAACCCCTATAGAACTCTGTTTTCGGGTGGGGGTGAGGGTTGGGGGTGTGGGTGGGGTTGGGAGTGGGGAAACCCTAACGCGCGTTGGTATTTACAAGTGCATCATCAGGAACCAGGGTTTCTTGGTGGTGGCGAAAGGGATTTCGCAACCATCCACAGAATTTTGTACAAACACGGTATCTGGGCACTGAAAATGCATCCGGTACCAGAAACAGCAAATAAACTGAAAGGACTGAAACAGAACCTGTCAACGCCCGGCTTTTGCCAGGACGTCCACTGCAAGGTCCTGGGAAACGCGGAGTTCCGCGCCCCGAGCATAACTTCAAATGGGGAGCCACCAGATCGACAAACACAACTTCCTTTGCCTAAGCCTTCTGAAGAAACAAACATACATCCGGTAGTGACGGATTGCGTTTTAAAAAGCCAAAAGGGGCACATTAACAAGTATTTTTAAGCAACCGGAAGATCCTTATGTAGAAAAACCTGTTGATATCCTCAGAATTCGATATGGCTTGGCACCTCCAATTCAAGGTGAAGGGGCACATCCCAAAGGGCGCGTAGTGATTTCATGCTGTGAGTCGAACAAGCTGCTCATCGGGAAACATCAAGGAAGTTCCGAGTGCGCTTTGCTTTTTTTTCAACCAAAAACATGCACAAAGGGGAGGCAGGCATTCCTTCCTTTTCATATGCCCTCTTGAAAAGATCCTCAGCGTACCCAGGCCGGCCGTAGCCCTTGAATGCGCTTCACAATTGCTGAGCCAGGGATTGCAGCGGTAAGGGGCATTTGTCATGGGTGCGCTCGTTTTGCCCTGGTGTGAGGCGACCCCTGGCACAACTAGGTCGCCCAGTAGAAAGGTTAGAATACGTGTACTAACTTTTTTCTCTGTAGTCTATTTCAGTAGGGGAACCCTCCCCCAAAAAAAAGGGTACAGGGGCACTACTGGGGGACCTAGGCAAATATCCAGCCTTCAATGGCATGAAAAACTCGCCCGGCAAACCAAAAGGTTGAAAACCCCAGCTTATGCCTATGGAGCAACCAGTGCGCTGAACAAATACATATTCGCTGTTGCCCGACGAAAGGAGGCCTGTACTGCTTGGCCTCCGGTTGGTGTTCCTTACTTTTCAAAGCCCAACCAGAAGAAAATGTCCTTCCATCAAAAGGAGCAAGCAAGTATGAGGGAACCAGCCACGAGCCCCTGGGTACGTACCTATGCGTGTATACATATACTTATGAGTTCATATCATGTTTGCATACAGGTTGGTCCTCCCCAGTTGCAAGGCATACAATGCTACACCGACCCGCCAGGCATACAAATTCTATTGGTTCCAGAGCCGTACCCTTAAGAACCCTAACGGTCGTACCTTCTAAAACCATGGCATGTACGTATTTAGCCCAAGACTAACTCCTCTGAAGGGGGCAAGTCTACCTTTTATATCCCTTTTGTTCCCTTGAAGGCTGGCCAAAACAGTTCCTGGCCTTTTCGAAAAGTTAAAAGTCCATAAGCTCAAGAAGTACGAACAAAAACAGGAACCACACCCATTTACCAGCCCTTGGTAACCCCCCAGTTCTAGTTGAATCACCTTTTGATGGCTTATCCTCAATTTGCTGAAGTCACCTGGAAAAAATATACATATTTCCATTAGTGATAGCTTCCCTCTAAAGACCCAAGCGGGAAAAATAAGAGAAACATTCTCAGCCACATGGATTTTACGGAGAAACAAAAACCCGGCGGCTCCCTTCAACACCAGCAGAGAAAATAACGGATATTCTTAACCTAATGGAATTTACGAGCAAAACCGGCACTTTTCGCCGAGCGGCACACAAAGGGCACCTCCTCCGGCAGCGCATTGAGCACCTCCAGGTTGAAGAAGCGGCCGAAGCGCAGCCAGCGGCTGGAAGACTTCGTGCTTCCACCCTTGCGGCAATCGAGCCGTCTCAAGAAACCATCTGGGCCATGAATTCTGATTGGGTCGAGATTGTATTTGATGGAATTTGATGGAATTTGCTTTGTTTTGGTATTTTCACTGTTTTTCGTCTTGGTTGTCTTGGCTAGCCAAAATGATGTATTTTGCAGCATTTTCTCATGATTTTCTCACGTAACGTACGCATTTTACACTAGCCCGGCCACATCACCGGCATCGTCTTCATTTTGGCTGTTTCTCATTTTAAGTTCATCATCTTGCCCCCCAAGCGGCGCTGTAGGCTGCAAGGCGTCAGAAGCCCCAACCCTGGACCATCATGAATGCGAGCAATGGTTCTCGCCAAGGCCCCGTTCAGGCCAGTTGCCCTCAGTTCTCCTCTGAAGAAAAAGGTTCACCTTTGGGAACCTTGACTAAAATTGAGGGCTCCAAATCCAAATCCCATGTCCCCAACCACTCCAATCGGTAGCTCCGAAAAGGCTCCCTCTTCAAAGTGATCGATACCGGGATAGCCCCAGCTCTCGTCCGGCTCCCTTCCAACCACCAGCTCGCAGGGAAGCCAAAGAATCCAAAGGCGACGGATCCGACGATCCGACCTGCTCCATCTGCACCACCTCCATCACTTCAGGCGATCGCCTTCCTTGCAATAGCTGTTCCTGCCGCAGCGCTTGTCGCGTTGAGCTGATATGAGGGTGGTGGGAAATGGATGGATTTCGCAACCATCCACACTAGCCTCTGGCGCGTGGCAGGGAACCTGGCATCGCTGACCATCTCTCTCACGCCTTCGAATGCAAGCCCCGTGCTCGCTCCATATGCATTCTGGCCCGTGTCTCCAAGGAAGACTCCCCCAACGAACACGAAACAACTCGACTTGGCTTTGCGCCTTTGAAGAATGATATCGTGCCATGGTAGGTTCTAGCGCCACAAAGGAGCTGAGTCCGGCGACGAAGTTGGCGTGCCGCCAGCACTAATCGCTACGCTGGGTTGCTGAGCAAAAGCAACGAAGAGCAATTTGTTTCCCAAAAATCTAACGGGCGATTTATTTGGTCACGAAACGAATACTAGCCATGTACACAGGGTTCCCGGTGGCTGCCCAACCTGTGTTTTTTTGCTTGCTGGAAAGTCCCCAAGTGCTACGAAAGCACCCCCCAAACCAGCCTGTTACAGTGTAATCTTTAAATGAATCCAGCCCCTGGCTGCCCAAAGACCTCAAGACCAAAACCAAAAAGACCGGGACACCCCACAAAAGAACAAAAGGCCCGCTGGTCGGCACATGTGGTGCAACACTCGGAGCAAACCCCCAAGGTGCCTGAAGCTGCTCAGCGGTCTCGAACTTTTTCAAGAACTCCTGCGGTCTCAAAGGAGGCAGGAACCGAGGAGAAAGGTTGGGAGACTTTGGGAACCCAAACTGCAGAAACCCTCAAGGCCGCGCGTTCATTGCCTAGAGGGGGTCTGCGGGAGGAGGGCACCACTCGTTGGGGTCTCAAAATGGGCGAGGAAGCCACGCACACATGGGCTGTTTTAGTTGCCTTGTTCACAAAAAGCAAAGTAACAACGAGGTCGGAAAAACGCTGGAAAATGATACCTGACCCACTTTTCTTTGTTGAAATCAATAGATTGCAAAGAATTAGAGCCGCACTGAAGCCATGTCCGCATATCTTCAAAAACAAACAAACGACAAATGGCTACTTGCTGCCCATGACCTGAAAGCCACCCCTTTTGTCGAGTTCTCTATGGCGTCCCTGTCAAACAACACAACAATAAGAGCGAAAGAAACTGAATTTCCCCAGCAGTTGCAACTTGGTGCTTGGAACGGTTCCAAACCGGGACATGAAGGATTGAATCCCCCCTCCATCTCACTTCCCAAGTGGATGGCCCAAAAAACATCGGAACTTTTGTTTACCACTCAAATGGCAACTAAAGCCACAAAGTGACTCAAGTCCGTGTCTGAGTCAAGACACGGACCAAACCCGGTTAAAAGAACAGAACGAGCTCTCGAAAACGCCCTCCTTCACCTTCACCAGCTCCGCGCAGGGCCTTCCTTTCGCCACTTCCCCCCCGCGCGTCAGCTCGAGGCTCGCCAGGCGCGCCAGCGATCGCGGCGCTTCGCGGAGGAAGAGCTCGAGATGGGCCACGCGGGACAGGAAGAGCGGCATGGGGCCGCCCAAAGCCTTCTGAAAGTCCTGGGAACAAATCCAAAAGCCGGGCTCAGATTCCGTTGAACACAAACATCTGAAATGTGAGTCTGGGAAGGAAACATATGAGCCCATGTGCAAGAAACTGTGCAATATAAGCAGAAACCTGATGCGCAAGTCTGGTCCATAGTCCATATGCAACAAACCGGAGAGAATGCACACCAGCCACAAAAAGAGATGGTGAACGACAAAACAAAAATTGACAGCCAGGTTCCACGCCTTGGCGGTGGATACCCCCTTTTTGAACACTCACTTGCCCAAAGGACCCAGGAATGGATGAGCGGACTTTACCTAGACCAACATGCGGGAAATCAAAAGGACAAAAGGCCGGCTTTGGACAACTGGGAACCTTGTTTCCTTAAATTACGCAAGCGACGTCCGCGGGGAAATGGGTCGTTATCGGGGGTGCGTCCTCTTGTGGCCATGCATTAATTCGGCGGTGGAGATCAACGCGAGAAGCAACCCTCCCAAGGAAACATGTCAAGAGTGGAAAGAAACAAGGCTACAACCCCGTGCAACGGTCAAAAGGCCGATCCGTTTTGGACAGCTGAGGTTCAGCTTTGTAATTTAATTTGTGGTTTGGCCTCGTGATTTGGAGGTGTTCCCGGGTGGTTCCCCATGTATTCACAAGAGCCAGGGGTTCAAATCTGTTTTGGTCAACTAATAGACTATGCAACTCGCTTTCCAAGTGGACTGGCCAAAACAAGTACAAACTTCTTACTTTCCACGAACACGTTCTTCCCCTCAGTGAAACAAGTCCGCAACGGAAGGCACGTCCATTTGCTTAAGTCCCCCGAAAAAAAATACAGCGCATGTCCAGTAGAGACAGATTCCCTTTAACACCAACAGGAGCAAATCAAAACATACTCTTCAGCAAATGAGATGGCGTCCAGGAACTTGGAATGAGTGGATGAAGCTACCTCAGCTTCCCCTTAGTTGATGTTTGGCTTGCGGTGCCACTCTAGGTCCTCCAGTAGAGAGGCTAGAATAAGGGTACCCTTTTTTCTGTAGTCTATTTTAGTAGGGGAACCCTCCCAACCGGGCAGCCTAGCACTTAGGCAAAAAGAAACCCTCGGAGCCATAGGTGGCCTTTTGTACAAAATAGATGGGCCTGGAAAATGGAACAAAACAAAACCCATCTAAACAGGACACCTATGCTCGGAGCAGGGCTTCGGCTAGGCAAACAAAAACCACCTACCTTAGCTTCCCCCTAGTTGATGGTTTGGCTTGGTGGTGCCACTTGGGCAAAAGAAGCACCCGCAGCAGGGCTTCGGCTCTCCTGAAAAATCTTCCTGGCCCGCTGCGGTGTGAAGGCCGAGGGCATGAAACTCGACTCCGCGGCCCACTGCTGCGCCCTCAGAGGCACCTCGGCCGCATGTCCAACTCAGACGCCGGTGGCTTCTACTAACTTCACCGGTGCTTCTCCAAGATGTTTTCCACTTGCTGAAGGCCCCTGAAAAAAAACAAAACAAAACAACGTGTCCAGTGGTGAGAGATTCCCTTAAAAAAAACATTGGACAATTGAAAACCTATTCTTAAGCAAATGGCAGTTCTGCGCATCCGGCTGTCCATCCCCATTGCTCGACCGAACTAAAACAAACAAGGGGTTAAGACCGCTCCGTGCCTAGGTCCTCCAGTAGAGAGGTTAGAATAAAGGTACCCTTTTTCCTGCAGTCTATTTCAGTAGGGGAACCCTCCCCCAAAAAAAAATCGGTAAAAGGGCACTAGTGGGGGACCTAGTTCATTCGTACCAATAGAAATATGCGCAGTCTTTGGGCTAGCGCTGATCCGGGCATGCACTGGATCAAAGGAACTTGCTTCCTTTGAGTGGTCGATCGCAATGCGTGGCTGTTTTGAAGGCTTGTTTAGCTAGAACTTGCTTGATCACAAGGCGTTGCTTGTTTTGGGCGCCCGGCACTTTATCACAAGACGTTGCTGCTTCTTTTTGGGGGGTCTTTGGGCTAGTGCCAAAAGGTCGCTTCTTCTGAGGGGGTTTCAGGCTAGCACTGTTCTGTGTTTTTGGGCTAGCAGCTCACTTGGACTTTGCTTATTTTGAAAGGTCTTTGTGTGCTGGGGGGATTTACTTTGGTCGGGGAAAGCACACAAATGACAGAGAGCTGCGTGGAATTCCCTGCGGGGGAGGGTGTTTAGCAACCAGCCTTCAACCACGGCTTCCCTTCACACAGGCGCCTCCATATTTGCGTTTGCCGAAGAGGCGATGTTTAAAACCACCCAAAGAAACAGAGGGTCATCAGCAGATTTTACAATCCCCAAGCCTGAAACAAGGAACCACCCCAAAATGTGGATCCAAGGTTTGAACAGGGTTGAACAAATGGCGGCGGGGTCCTAATCCTAGTCTGCAATCCGTGGGACCAGTAATCCATCCAGAAGGATCCTGCGAATTGTTTTTGAACCGAGGCTTGACCAAGGCCCCCTTCTTTGTGAACAACCCAGGCTTGACCAAGGCCCCCTTCTTTGGGCTGATCTTTTACAGAGCGCGCCCCTCAACCCAAACGAAGTTGAGTAAAGGAAGCGCCCCACTGTCTTGCGGATTGACTTGGAAGAACCCAGTTTATCAAAACCCAAGGTTCCCCGTGTGTGGGCCTTTGCTTCCTCAAGGTAGCCTTTACAACCAAACTAACCCATGATTGGGTGAACATAAGTGGGTTCCAACAGGCTGCCACACGCGTCACTGTCCTTCGCAAGCAATTAGAAGCAGTTTATCCGTGCCAAGGGCTAAGAACATCTAAGAACTGAAGGCACCCTCACAACCCACAAAAGCTTGGGTAGGAACCTTGATCAATGGGCTCTGAGTACCGTACTGCTGTGGGGGGGGGGGGGGGTGGGTGCAAAAGCGCCCCCCAAAGCGCATGGAGAGAGACGGGTTAAAGCCGCTGCTTGCACCCCGCTGACTTCCCAAGGGTCTTGCTGGCCATAAACCAGACCTCAACGAAGCTGCTTACAAAGGGGTTGTTGAATGCCATGTAAAAGCCTGACTGGGAAAACAAGAGCTATGGGGGCGTGGGGTACCTCAAAATATCAGATTTTTTTGTTAGCCCCTTACACTACCAGGTGACTTTAGGTGCATGGTTTAACTGGCTACCCAATGATGACTGTCACCGTCCACCCAGCCCCGGTGACCATAGGAAAAAAGGATCGGCGGTGTGTGCTTGTGTTGGGGGGAAACCCCTCCAAAACAGCTTCAAGGAACACTCCATCATGTTTATTTGACTTTACAGGGGCCTCCTCCCGTATGTTGCACATGTAGAGTCTATGTTGCAACCTCCTTCTTTAAGAGCATTCTTTGATTACAGTTCTTGGCTGCGAAACAAACTCTCACTTCCCAAGTTGACTGGCCAAAAAAAGTTCGAACTTTTTATTCACCACTAGAATGGTCCTTCCAAAAAGTTTAAAGTCCACCAACTCAGGAAGTGAGAACTCTAAGTGTCCGTGGCAAGGCCACCCCCCCCAAAAAAAATCCCAAAGAAAACAAAAACCACAGAAGACACCCAGAACTTATCAGAAAGCCCAGTTCGCCACCCTTCCGCAAGCCTCCCCAAAGGGCCCCCTTTGGCTCTCCGCCCATTTGGGGCGAACACGCCGCCGCCCAGGGGAACCCGATTGGCTTCGCGTCGTTGCGCCGCCTTTTTTTTGGCCCCATGGCAGGGCCTCGAAAAGCACCCCACCGATTTTGTTTCCCCACAAGAAGCAAGGTGCTCTTCATCCGGCGCTTTGCCAATGCAACGTTTCAACTCTCAAAAAGGGGGTCTTTATCTGGGGAAATCTTCTCTGAAACATGTTCATCTAGGTCCTCCAGTAGAGAGGTTAAAATAAAAATACCCTTTTTCTGTAGTCTAGTTGAGTAGGGGAACCCGCCCCCAAAAAAGAATCGGTAAAAGATTGTAAAAGGGCACCTAGCTGGGGGACCTAGTGTTCCTTTACAGGTTGCGGTTAAAAGTCGCCCGCATGGGCCGCGTCGGGTTCGATCTCGGTCTGGGCTCAAGGCGCCCGGATGATGGTCCCCGCCAGAGGCTCCTGCATGGTACACCCGAAGAGGTCTTCGAATGGCCGCGTCTCGTCGGGGAAGGCGTCGTGGAAGGACAGGCCGTCGAAGTCGTCGTCCAGAAAGTCCAGCATCTCTCCGTACCTATCTCATTGCTGCTTTGGGATAACGACCATTTCTGTGGTTTGGGGCCATTTGTGGTACCTATCAGGTGTCCCATGCTTCCCGCACCGATCGGGTATCTCATTGCTGCTGTAAGAACTATACCATTTGCGTGGCTTGGGGCCCGCTGGCTTGGATCTGGAGTTGAACCTCTGGATCTTGAGGGTGAAATGGACATTTCCCCAGACTTGCTCCCCAAATGCCCATGTTAATTTCCAAGGGAGTAATGGAAAGTCAAAACGGCAACAAGTTAAATTGCAGGGGAGCAAAGTCTGACCAATGTAGCTGGCATGCCACAAACCCCAAAGACAACCAACATTTTAGGGGTGGTGTTCAAACTTAAGCGAAACTAGACCCTGCAACCCGCCCAACATCAAGAGCCAAAAAACTCAAAATTTTAGGCAATGTGGAGGATGTGTTGAGCTACTCCGAAGACCCGCGGAGCAAGGGTAGGTTTGCAGCCGCTGGGCTTCATCTAATCGACAACACTGGCCTGTCCGTTTTCAGATTTCCTGCGAACCAGTAAACACCCCGCACTAAACCCTAAACACCCAAAACTTAAGGGCATGACTAGCAACCACCAAGAACACACGGTGTAGCACTGAGTAGGAACCATTTGTGCGCCGATTGGGTGTTCATTGAATTCTGGCTCGAAGCAGTCCTGTTCATGTCCTGTTCCAGACAGGCAACTGGCCATCGCTGGAGAGTCGTTCGTCTGGATCAAGGATGGCATACTTGCTGCCCGACACGATCTGGATGATGTCCCCGATGTGAAAAAAGCTCCTGGGGCCACGTGCACGATTGAGGTCACACATTGCTTGAACAGCATTGACAGCATATGTCACTCCATGGTCAAATCACACCGGCCAAGCGCGGCTCTTGCCACCACCACATTTTGCAGGTCAGCAGAAACATCATCGATTAATTCAAACCCACTCACCACATACCACAAAGATCCTACCATGCGCGTAGCCGACAACGGCAAAGTGTCTCTTTCGCAGAGATTGCGCAAAACTGGAAACAACGCGGTCACATCGAACCAACACATGCGTTAGGTCGATGAATTGACACAAAAAAACAGGGCGAACGCCTACTCCGTTCGCCAAACCGTTTGCTGCAGGTGTTTGCCAAAATGCCACGACAAAAGTTGCCAGAGCAGCCACTGATATATATATATATATATATGTATATACCTATATTTATTTATTTATTTATATATGGACCCCAGCAGGTGGTCCCTTGAGGAACACTCTCCAGGAAACGTGAGAAGGTACCAAACCCCTAGACTGCTTCTTCGTCCCGGTTCTGCCAGGGTCCCGGGTAAACCCCTCCTTTCCAGCCCTGGCACACCAAAACGCACAACTTTACCACATGTCCAAAACTGCTCCTTGTTCATTTGCTTGATTTTCCGATTTCCCTTGATGGTTTCACAGGGAATGTGACCTGGATTGGATTGTGAATTCCAGGGGGCGCGTTCGCAATTTTAGGAACTCTTGTGCGATCTGATGCGAAAGCCTCCAACAAACTCCACCAGGCTCGGGAGCAACGCAGCACACATTTTGAAGATCATGAGGCAACCTCTCAAGCACTGCGAAAGCGACCCAGGGAGCACTCAAGCCTCCACAATTTGCTCGTCAAGACAATGCCCCAGCCATAGGGCAACTGGATCTCTGGCTCACTTTGTGACTCACCCATCCTGGACCCTTCTGCCGACCAAACCTTCCTAACCTACCACGACCTGCACTGTTACGTGCGGGATTGTTATTTGATGTAGACGGTTTGGCAAGGCTTTGACCAATTCTCCTCCCCAGCCTTTTTAAACATGGAATTGCCCCTGCAAAATATCCATTTGTGGCAACCCATTTCCCGCAAGGGATCCCCAAGGGATCCCCAAGGAAGCTCGTTTTGCCCCCCAAGTGAGCTCGCCAAAAACTTATGCAGACATGCCGTCTCCTGGAGCCCATGCCGTACTTGCCCACTTCGCTGGGGCAATGCTTCTTCACGCTGTCGTAGATCCGCTGCAAGCTTTGCCAGTCCTGGGGTCGGATGATTCACCTTCGGATCCCTTCCCAACCACTTTATGGCGAGGGTAAAAAAACCAGTTCGCCACGAAGGACATATTCTTGAGGATTCCTTTTTTTCGCTTCTCTCGCGAGAAGAAAGCCAAACAATTCGCAAGCCCCACACGTCAAAGGCAGAATATGCAAAAGTGCCATGGTCAAAACTTTTGTGGCCCTGCCATCTCTCCAGCAGCCCCTGCCGTGGCTTCTAAACTTGTATTCGCTAAGCTGGCCATGGGTTCACAACCGAGGTATCCGCTTCGATTAACTTGCAAATGTGGAATCCGAACTGGCCAGCCTCAAGGCAGCCATGCCTTTGGGGGTGGTCCCTCGGCAAAGCTTTGGGGGTTTCCTAAAACTACCTATCGAACCTGTTTCGGGCACCCTTCTAGGACCCGAAAGGAGCTCTCACCCTATCAACTACCACCTCCTTGTAGCCACACGCATGGGGTTCCTTGTGTCTTCACAACCCAAAGGCAACTCACTTTGAAGTGGCCCATGTTAGTAAAGCCTACAAAAGGGGGCATCGGAGACACACCTCGTCTCAAGGAACAAGCCGCTGGTCAAAATTGACACTGCCACTTTTAACTAGCGAGGCTATGGCGTTGTTTCATTTGAGGCTATGCGGTTTGGGGTTGAGGGGAGCCTGGGGTTCCCGGATTTTGTTTAGCCAAGCCAACAAAGGAAGCTGCCAGCAGTCGAGCCCGTCTTGACGCTTCCGGTTTTGCAACGGCGCAAAACGTTACTCTTGACATACCCTGGAAGGGAGTGACACGCCAGGTGTAATCCTCAGGGTTCAAAGAAGAAACGTCAATGAATGGGGGAGCGACCCAGCCAATGTGAAAGAAGGCATCCTTAAGTGATGTCATATGTGGCCTCCGCTCGTTGCACCGCGAGATGAGTTAGGCTATTAATCCAGCCGGAGCAGATCTCATTTGCCAGCCACGCCAGTTCTGCAAACAATGCAATGCTCGCGAAGGCTTTGTGGATAATCACTGTCGTCTCCAAATCGCTGGCAAAAAGGATTCAACTGTGTGTGTATCCTCTCAAAGCTAGACTAGCCTTCTTCCATCCCTCCGCCCCCAACCCACCAAAAGGGGGAGAGGGGGGGGGTTCTATTTCCATTCTTCTAGTCTTGTCCAAAGGAAGGATGGCGCACTATGCCGTTCAAAGCGTTGAAATCGCCCCAACTCAGATTTAAGACACGGCAAAGGCATTCCCAGTGTTATCCAAAAAGGCATCACTGCATCACCCAAAGCCACTTACCACCAAATACACCAACAAAAGGCGGGACAAATTGACGTCTTTCTTTAGACCCCCAAAAACGCATGGTTTTTCCTGCTGGCTTCTGGAAACTACCACTAAACCAACTAAAACCAACAAAACACCTTTCTGGAAGCGGAGGACTGGGAACCACCAACTAAGCACTGTGTCTTCCAGGGCGCTCTGTCTTGAAAGCCGCCGTTGTCGTAGAAGACAATGGCAGGGCCTTGAAGACGCTTTCGCCACACACCCGGTCGGATCTGTGTCGCCGGATGCGTGGTGAGGTCCTCATCAAGGGGAAACACCACGTGAGATCCAAACCCTCTGGACGCTTGGTTCCACCAAGATGGTGATAAAGGCTTATATATATATTTATATTCATATATCTTACTGGAACCCCACTATGAAACCAGGTAGTGGGACCTACTAAAGTACTAAAGTTAACAATAGGAATCGGTGTTGGGCGCTGCTCACGTGTTTCTTTTGGGGTGGGTGGGTTTCACGAGGAAGGTGGTTCGGGGGATGCACGTAAATTGGGTCAAGTGTTCTCGAATATACTTCGCCCCGGTGGGAAACCCTTGAAACCACCATCGTTCTCGCAATTTGGTTTGGTACCCCTAACAACCGGAACCACCCCCATTTGTCAGCCCCTGAACCGCCCAGTTCTAGTGGGAAGCCAGCCCAATGGGCTTGGGCGGCGCCTGGGTTGGCCAAAAAAAGACGACTTAAAACACAAGCCCAGAGCTCCGGTTGGCGACACACACACACACACTTCCGATCGAGTGGATGGGCCAAAACAAGTATCAAAATACTTTTGATCTACCAATGAAATCATCCTTCCCAAAAAGTGACTAAAGTCCGAAAGGGAACTCAGGGAGTGAGGAAGCAGTCAAGCGCTGAACTTTGCAATCGCGCTGTGTGCTCCGGATTTCCTGAATACTGCAAGGGAAGAAAGGACACCCTGGCAATTCCCAGGGATTGAAATTGACTTGCAATATGTAGGGCATGCACCGTAGCAAGGGCGCAGACCTCGTTCGCGCGGGCTATTCCCAAATGGCGAATCATCGTCGGTACCTTCCTTTAGGAATCCCACACGCCTTGTGCTTTCCGGCGTTTATTCGGTTGACATCCACAAAGTAAACAGAGCAGACATCAAACATGGCAAGCTGCAGCACTTCTGGTGAGAGCGTGCTTGCTGGCAACAATGAATTGGACAGAACCCTGGACCTCCTTAGTTTTCACCTGATCAAAGGGCGTGGCTTTGACCCCCTTCTGAATTCCTTCTCATCGAAGCAATTCGAAAAGGTGGCTGACAACTTCCGCGACAAGCCCGTAAACCACGCGCTTTCTTGGGCCCAGGGTGCCACATAATGTTCACCCCGGATTCATAAACCCCTGTTTCTGAAAATCTGGGGGTGAAAGCCCCTCCAAAAGCGGTCTAAATCCAACCACTAAAACCAGAAATGGACACCCCCCCCTCTTAATCAAACCAGGGGGTTATGGAAATCCCGGGGGTCAACACATTACGCCCGGGTGGTACCCAACAACCCAACAACCCCACCCCCCCCCCATGGAACTGGAAGCCGACCAACGAAAACCCCCACGTCTCCCAACCAGAACTCCGAATCCGGCAGCTCTTCAACGCCCGGCCCCCCTGAGTTCAAGTCATGTTGTTGGTTTTTTTCAGTGACAGAATCGATACTATCAGGCAAATCATTCGACCAACTATCCTTAACTACCAGTTCCTTGCAGAACTCCCTTCAAAGACTCCCTTCCCCTACAGAACTCCTTGCTCCGAGTTCGGCTCCCTCAAGGGCAAAAAATAGATACACCCCGGCTCCCTGCGTCCGGCTCCCTTTCCAATCACCAGCTAGTTGAGCGGACCCCCCAAAATGGCTTCGGTGCTCCTTTTGGCGGACCCCTTGAAAACCGCAAACAAAAAAACAACAAGGGCGGTACCTCTCCCCACAAACCGACGCACCCAGCTCGTGTTTTTTCCTTCCGAGGCGCCAGGAGTGCACCGAAATAAGTCGCCCGATCCGTATCCTCCGCATTCTGCAGGGCCTCGAAGATGAATTGGCCGCCGCTGGGGTAGTGCTGCAGCAAGTTCTTGAGGACTGCGCCTGAAGGCGCTGGGCCACTCGGCCCACGAGGGGGGCCAACAGAAGTCTCACTTCCGATCCAGTGGATTGGCCAAAAAAAGCAACCAAACTGTTTGTGTCCCACTAAACTTGGCTTCCAAAAAAAAGTTTAGAGTGGGTAGTTTTAAGGGTTCCTGACTTTGTTTTGCCAAAGCATGTGGTAGAAACGCATCCACAAACCCAACGCCTATTGCGGGGCCGCCGCTGTCATTCAACGAGAGCAATCACGCTCCAGATTGCGAACCCTGCAAATGAACCAACAGGGGCAGGGTGCCTGGGGCCTAGAGAAGTCTCGGAAACATGTCAGGCATGCAACCCCCCCCAGCTTGTCATGACAAATTGTCATCCAGAAATTGGCGCCACTGCTCTCAAAAGGGTGCTGTTCATGGCAGGAACTCGACTCAGTTGTCAAAGTTGCATTCAAGCAATGCCGAGTCATGCTCACGCAACACAAAGGAACCTCATGTGTATCAACGACATTCAAGTTACTTGTCCGTCGAAATATTCGATGTTTCCCGGATATGTAGGACACATACGGAAAAGTTATTGTTTCTTGCCCTTGGCTTAGATCGCCTTTAATCATCCTGCCGGAAAGCAAGTAATCCGCCACCATAAATTGTTCAAGCAAATCAATGAACAATCGTGGCACAGGAAACACCAACAACACAGTCACACAATCATAACATGTGGGTCAACATTCCCCGCCCCCAAACAGCCACAAATTGCGAATTCACTCTCTTTTCCTCTATGGCTTTCCTTTTACAGGCGAAAGGCTGACCAGCCCCGATCCACACTCCCGATTTGGAAAAGAAGTGCCAACGAGAGGACCAAGGCGCGACTTTGAACGGCCAACTGTTTACCTTCCCTTTGCGAATACGTCCCCGCCAAAAGTATAGACACATCTGCAGGAGTGCTACCGGTTGCCTTTCCCTGAAACAGCCGATTCAGATGGGTTTGTCTCAAAATTTGGTACCCTCACTTCCTGAGTGGCTTGGCCAAGACAAGTAACCAAACATTTTGCCTAAGCCACTACAAATCCAAAAAAAATCAAGTCCAGGAACTCAAGAAGGAGGTACCCCTAAAATTGGTAGTTTTCCTTTTGTTCCCCTTGAAATCCACCCCGACAATACCATCAACATCGGTCTTCGTCACAGGCGCTGGGCGAGATCTTCAGGCCAAATCCAGCCTGCCAGGGACAACTCTGGGGTAATTACCTTGGTCTTCCAAGGGCCCGCAAAAGCTTGGCTGACGTTGGAAGGGGAGTAAAAATTATCAAATTGATTTCAACCACTAAACCACAATAAGCAAAAATTGGAAAATTGTTTCCCAACAACAACCATGAACCAGGGTCCTTCTTGGCTTTGATCTTGGCTCCAAATGGAAACTCAGCCAAAGGCCTGCTTTTCCAGGGTCCTGGAAGATCAAGGTTAGGGTGTAAATAGAAAGTCAGCAAGGACAACTATCCATTGGAACGTCTTTCTGAACATGGAACCTCACATCCGGGGGGGTCCTAGAAGATCATTTTCCTTTTAAAGGCGCCTGGTGGGCGGGTAGGAAGGGTAGGATTCAACTGGGAACTTCTTTTCAAATAGGATTTCACTTAAGGCTTACCCTCTCCAAGAATGATATGGGAGTCTTTTGTTTGGAGCTTGGTTGCTGCAACAACCCCTCTGCAAAAAGTTTAACTTACGGAACATCCGTCCTGTTTAAACAAAAAACACTCCAAGGATCCAACCAAAACAAACAAACATGCAGCTGGGGGTGTCTTTTGTTGGAGACCCCTTTCGTTTGTAGAAAAAAAAACACCCATACTGTGGATGGACGAAATCCTCTTAGGCACCACCCAGGCACCCCTGACATAATGATTCTCCCTGTAAATGCAAACAAACATAGGTTTTCCATGGTTTCAAAGTGGTGCAGGATTTCATCCATCCACAGTATCTCCACACCCACACCTTCAGCGTCCGCTTCACACTTCAGGGCAAAACATATCCGCGCGCGCGCGCGCCTGCGCCCGGCGAAGCGCGCGAAAAACCCGCGGGCGTTGCCGGCGCGTGTAGCGCTGGTACAAGCAGCGGCCCGCCACGGCGAACGCGGCAAAGCGAAGTGTTGGCGGCCCGAGAACGAACGCACTTCCTGAGTGGCTTGGCCAACAAAAAGCGGATTTGCTTTATGTCTAAGCCACTAAAATGGCACTTTCAAACCAGTGAGCGAGCGAGTGAGCGAGTGAGTGAGTGAGTGAGTGAGTGAGTGAGTAAATAAGTGAGTAAAAAAAAATAAGTGAATAAATGAGTAAGTAAGTGAGTAAGTAAATAAGTGAGTGAGTGAGTGAGTGAGTGAGGGGGTGAGAGGGTGGAGTCCAGGAACTCGGGAGAGAAATGAGGGGGCGAGATGTCAATTTCAAACCCGAAAAGCGACTTAAGTCCAGGAACTCGGGAAGTGAGAAAAGGCGCTCGCGCCACTGACCCGCCGCGCCGCTGACTCGCGCGAGCTTCCAACATCTCTCCCCGAACAGGAGCCGCGCGGCCCGTGGATTTGCAAGGAAGCCTGATCTGTGCAGCCACCACAGAACGGGGCCGGAACCAAAACAAAGAACAATAAGAAGTGACGAGAACAGACTTAAAGAGAAACAACAACCTAAACCGAAAGCACAAACCAAAAATACTTAAACAGAAACAACAACATCAACCGAAAAGGCTTAAAGACCATGTCCGTTTGGCAACGTCCGGTTTTTGCCACCAAAGTCCACTGCAAGGTCTAAGGTCAATCAGGATCCGCGCCCCAACCATCCACTTCAAAGAGTGCCACCTATATTGATACGCACAAATCTAAAAGTGGATTCCCCATTCTTTTCAACCATCGTTCTTTCCAAAAACCGGATCCGTTTTCCTCGGGTTTCCGAAGGGATGGGGAAGGTACCCCTAGAACAAACATGAGAAGGCTGCTACGGGAAACACATTGGGGCATGTCGTGATTTCCACGGACCATTCGCACACGCAGGTGGGGGGGGGTGTCGCAAAATTGGTGGCTCAACATAAAGGAGTACCAACCGTTTCTAGCACAGGATTGAGCACAACACGGTGACGAAGGGGGAATTTCATCAAACACAAAAAAGAAACCCATGGCTCTTTTTCTTGGGTTGCTCTTGTCCCCATAGGCTTTTGCAGGTTTCATGGAAAAGCCAAAAGCTATTTGTTTCCACAAAATCGGTCTCTCCTTTTTTGCGTAATTCGGTCAAACGAAAGACCACATTTCCTGAGTGGATTGGCCAAAAACAAGGCCAGGAACGTGTTTTATTTACCAGAAAAATGGCCACACGCAAGTTTGCGGTCCATGAACTCAGGGAGTGAGTAATTAATCCACCCTGCGGAAATGTATTACGCACCCTGCCCATAAAAAAAAGGTGAGGACCCCCAAAACCAGCCACAAGTCGCTTCTTGCCATCGCATCCCAAATGGGTCAAACCTGAAGGCCTCGCCTCACAAGCCTCCCGCCTGCATGCCGCCTGCAGGCCGCCTGTTGCCCAACGCGGCTTTGCCAGACTGAGCCAGCAAAGCGGCTCAACGCGGCAGCTCTCTATGGATGCCCGACCCTAGGTCCTCCAGTAGAGAGGAGTTAGAATCAGGGGACCAACTTTTTCTGCAGTCTATTTCAGTAGGGAACCCTCCCAACCAAAAAAAAAAAAGGGTTCAAGAGGGCACCTAGCTGGGGGACCTAGTCCCCAACCCAAATCCATGGCCACTGGGCAAATCAGCTAAAAGCTTCCGTTTGCTTACTGGGTATTTTGCCGGACCGTCAATTTGATTTCCCCCCCCCTGGGAGAAAACACATGGGCAATACTGATAGACTCCCTTTAACGCCAACAGGGAAAAAATAAAACATATTCGTAAGCAAATGAAGTTGCCCAACGGCAGCGGACCTTTCGGGCCGCCTTTTCGAGAGGATAGCCTTCCAACACCCAAAACGTGTTCTTCCTTGCTTGCAAGTAGAACAAGGGCACACGCCAACCTTTATCGTACTTTACCGTGGTTCTGTGGTTGGGCTTGATTGATTTGTAATAGACAAAAAACCCAGCGTACCCTGCTGTAGATGTTTTTGTGCTGTTTCACGTGTTTGAACACGTGAAGCAGCACTGCTATTTCCACATCATTTGGGACTCAACCAGCCAACAAAACCTGTACTAGGGGTAATTCTTGCAGACTTCCGTTTTGGGGGATACACATGGCTGTGGCATGTTGCGGCATGTCGCATATTTCTTCTGTGCTAACAAAGTGGGCCATGAGTCACACAAAGTGGCAGCAACAGCTAGAAGTTTCATGCGCCTCTTCCGCTGGTTTGGTGAGTGCACCGTGAGCAATTGTTCAAGCCACCCCGCGAGTCAGGACATAAGTAAATTGACTAAAACTTGGAAATGACCTGAACAACATCGAAACCTTACGCAGATTCTTGTCGAAGAGATCGAACCATGTGACGCAACGAATGGGAAGAGTTTGCAGTGCGTGAATGTTCTTTCGCACAGGCAGCAATAAGTAGCAGGGCGATGCTTGTTCCCGACTTAACAAATCTTGCTTGACGTTGGAAGGGGAGCAAAAATGTTCAAATTTTAGCAGTTAAGTGGTTGGATTCCAACCACTAAACCACAATAAGCAAAAATGGGGAAAATGTCAAACCCAACAACCACCATGAAATGGTTAGTCACACCAAACATGCACCCATTTGGCGTGGTTTGGAGAAAGCGATGGCAAAGGTTTACCAAGCTGAAACCGGCAGAGAGCGATGTTGATGCTACTAGTTGCCTGCCGGGTTTGATTGGTCACCTGCAGCCATAAGTTAAACTTGTTGCGAGTTGTGCAGTGTGAAAACAGCAATTGTCAATCAAGTCAAAAGGTTACCTCGGTAAAACCAAACCCAAACCGTGGCCATGGCAAAACGATTCGGCACCCCTTTTTCCGGTGATTGAATTTAAGGGGAACCCTCAAAAGACAACTTAAACACAAAATATGGACACATATGGACACCTTTTGTGGGCGTCCAGAAACGAGGAAGGAACAGTCTTGCGCTGCTTGCTGACATTATTAACGGCACCGGGGTCAAGCAGTGATCTTCGCCTCGAAGGCAAATCCCTCAGCAAAGCTCTGCTTCGGGGCATGAGGTTTTCACCAATGCTGGCAGAAAACCATAGTCACACTTAGAGAAAACAATTCCCTCCCATCCACAAACATGGAACCTCACCGGGGGTTCCTGGAAGTGTTCCTGTTAAAGGGACCTTCGCGGCAATTTATAACACTTCAAGACTGTTGTTGATGAGTCCACTTCAAGACTGTTATTGCTGTTGAATCACTTCTCACTTCCTGGGAGAATTGGTCAACAAAAAGTAAAACAAACTTTTGTTTGCCACTAATATGGTCCAAACCAAAAAATGAGTGACTAAACTGGCCTCATTATTTACCATGATCAAAGTCACCCCCCAAGTGGTGGGTTAGAGGGAAACAACCCCGTTTTCTGACTTTGATAACCCCCAGAAACCGTAAAAAGAATGACCCCAGGATGAAGTCAAAATGAAACCAAGGGCGGACAGAGCAAAATTGTGTTCGGTGTGTCTCAGAGTTGATTCTGGAGCTTGCGGGCATGAGTTACGTCAATGCTGGCAAACAAAAACACGCCTGAACACAGTACCCTCACATCCACAAACATGGAACCTCACCGGGGGGGTCATGGAAAACCATGTTCCTTTTGAAGGGTCCTAGTGGGTTCCATGTGTGAACTGGACGGTACGTTGTCAAAGCAACAATTTCGTAGGCGGTCCCCTCCAAGACCAGCCATGGTTCTTCCCAAAACTCCAAAGCTCCAAGCTGAAAACCTTTGCCCATGGTCACATCTGATGATTCATCAAACCAAAGATTGAAAGAGTGGCAATTGCAGGGGTCACTGGATTTCCGCTTCAAGAGTTGCAATTTACTGGTGGTTTCCCTTGAAACGATCGCCTCGTTTGAACGTTCCAAAAAAAGGGAAATGGAGGAAACCCAGAATTCGCCACGGGCTCCTTCGCTTTTTTGCTGGCCCCTGAAATACCGAAGCATTTCCCCACACATCTAGGCTGGAATTAGGACCCCAGCAAAAATGTGTATATATATATACACATATATATTTGCAAAACAAAGGGACCCAAAAAAAGAACAAATGCAAAACGGGGAGCTAATTCTGGGGAAGACATGACCCCAAAACAAAACTTACAAACTCAGGCCTCAAAAGATGCTTCTGAGAATCGGAGTCCTGGACCTGAGCTTTCGCACTCCCCATATCCCCCCTATTCAGGTCTTAGCTGGAGGAAACCAGCTAAGAACCAGAAAAGTTCTGCGGTTGGATCCTATGAGCTACCGGCTTCCATTTGCTTAAGCCCCCAGGAAAAAAAAACATATATTTCCAGTAGTGATAGATTCCCTTTAGAACCAACAAGGGAAAATAACAAACATTCTGAAGCAAATGGAAGTCGGGGAACCCTTCGCATATCATTTTCTACTGGCGCGCTGTCGATTCGCTAGATCTTGGTCTCCTCACCGAAAGCGAATGCCTGCGGCTGGTCTGCGCGAATGAACCGAAACATGAACCCTCGGTTTCTTCACTTCCAGTTGCTCTTTCGTTTGCTGGGAAAAATAAATAAATTTCCAAAAGTGATGGATTTCCTCTAAAAGCCCACCAGAAAATAAATAAATATTCCGCCTGTCCATATGGAATCTGACTGAGGGGTATTGAAACACTAGGGACCCTCTGGTGGGTTCCATGTTGGCGGACAGGAGGGTACTTATTGAAACAAGCCCGCCACCGAAGAGGCCCACAATGCAGATGGGTTCTTATATGCACAATAGGCTTTTGATGGCTTTTGAGCATAGGGACACATAATTATTAAAGGCCCTCGACTGCTGCATTTCTAGTTCATGCCTATGCCAGCTTTGCATCCGGTGTGGCGAGACGGGCCAATCGCGAATCGCAAGGCCGCTTCTTTTCAGCACCTGTATTCGGCGTAATGCAGTCGCAGTGCGGATTGATTAAGGATTCAGAAGGCGAAAGTAAACTAGCTTCAACTCCTTGTGGGCTCAGGCATCCATACTTGCTTGGGCTGGGTTAATGACTTCTGCACAAACTACTGTCAGCCCAAACTGAGAATAAGAGATCACCGGGTAAGATAGCATCACAAGCGAGCTCGAGGGATTTCGTGCAGAAAGATCATGTCAAAGGGCCGAGACAAACTTCAAGCAGCAAACGATCACCCATCGAAGTGGAAATCCATGGGTCAAAATCCTGTACCCTCAGTGAACATCCAAATCCCCACTAAAATTGACTAAAGTGGGTAGTGCACCTACCCCAAAATGGGATCCCATTTGTTTTGACCCACCAAATGGTGCGACCCCCAAATGTTGATTCCCTCTTACAACCAGGCAAGGATGTATGTCTCTCCAGCCAGCAGGGCTGTGGGAAATGACCACTTCTGTGATACAACAAAAAGGGCCTCCCAAAGACTACCCCCGCCTATATAAAGAGGGGAATGCCCTTGTATCACCTTGATCCCACAACCCTGCTCTCCAGCATTTCCCTCAACCCCCCCCCCCCCCCCGCTTAGGGAAACGCAGACCTTCAAGAGGCATCCCTCACTTTCAGATGGCCGCGAATTGATGTTTCGCAAAGTGAATCGGCAAACCTAATCGCCGGCATGTCCCTCCCCGAATCCTTGCTTGACGTTGGGTTTGGGGAGCAAACATGTTCCAACTTTAGCAGTTGAGTGGTTGGATTTCAACCACCAAACCACAAAAAAAATGATAAAAAAAAACAGGGGGAAAAATGTCAATCCCAACCACCACCATGAAATGGTTAGTCACACCCAACATGGGTGGCCCATTTGGCGTTGGAGAACCCACACTTGGAGCTCCCCAGAAGTTTTTCAAACGCCAACGGCTTCAAGTCCCCAACGATCTTGGCCGCCTGGCCGCCTGGCAGATATGAGGGCGAAACGGCGCCTCCCCTTAAAACCAAGCAGGGACAAAGGATTCACGTTCCGAAACGCATAAGAAAAAAGAAGAATAATATTTTCCCCAAGGCCGAAGAAACAAAACCTCTCCCCATCAAACCCTCCCCCCATCAAAAGCCCCATCGACCCCGAAGCCCCCCATTCGCCTCGCCATGCGAGGCGTCATTGGAGAGCAGCACCTCCCAAGGCGCTTCCGGCGGAACAGGCGGCCGCAGCACGGAGATCGCCGTCATGCCGCCCATGCCTCGCGACTCGAATCGGTCCGGCGAGCCGCGGAAACGGCCCCGCGAGGTTGAGTGGGGGAGTGGGCCGGGGGGGAGTGGGGAGTGGGGGGAGTGGGGGGAGTTGGGGGAGTGGGGGGAGTGGGGGGTGGGGGGAGTGGGGGGTGTTGAGGGAGGGGGTGGAGGGGCTTTTTTGAGGTCTCTTGGTGGCCTTGAGCAGGAGTTTGAGAAGGGGGAACTGCAAAGGGAACACAGCCATTCTGGGCACATTGGAGATATGAACCCATGGTCTTCTTGGGTTCCTGTGGCAAGTTTGCAAAAACTTGAGTCATACATTCAGCTTAAATGAATGCCCCGCAAAAATACAGACCCTCCTTCCTCACCATCCCTTGCTTCACGGGCATCCCGAACAGATCATTCCTACCCCTTGCAAGAAAAAGAACCTAACCAGGAAAATGCCAAACCAACATCACCTTCAGCAAATCAAACCACAAATCCATGTCCTCTCAGGGGTTCCTGCAAGCACCTTCTTGGTGGGTGCTTGGCGAATGTCCTCGAATTTCTGCCTATCCTGGAAGCTGAAAAAACCATTTACAAATGCTACAAATGGTAGTGTCCAAACTGCAATTTTCCATCGAGAAGGTCTATAGGAAATGGTTCTTTGGGGGTTCCCACCATTTGTAAACGGTTGATGCAGGTTCCACGAAACAAAAATGGAAGGCTGCTTCGGGAATCTTCCACTTGCTTTGGCCCCCAGAAAAAAAAAAAAAAAAAAAAAAAACAAGCCAACATTTCCAGCAGTGAAATCGATTCCCTCTAAAATCCAACTGGGGGAAAAGAAAACCAATATTCACTTCAGCAAATGGAAGATGAAAATGCTTTTCAGTTGCTTGACCCAGAATACAACTCAGTTGCTTTCTGCTCCCCTGTTAAAAGCTTAACTTTCAGTGGTTTAGTGGAAAGCCCCTTAGCTGGCAAAAAGTTGTTCAGTCCTAACATCCCTTGGCAAAATGCACCTCTGAAAAGGGGCCACTACAAACGGACCGAAAAGGGGAAACTAAAAGGCTTTGCTTTGTCGAAAGGGAAGTACATACACCTTGTTCACACCGGTTCCTTGGCTTCCCTGGCTTCCCACCCACTTTACAAGGATCCGGATGCATGAAAAACACCTGAACATTGCAACTTGTAAATGGTGGCTTCCCTTTGTTTTGGTGGAAAAAGCCAGGTTTCAAATGGGCAAAATGTATCTTTTAAGGAGCCTGCTTTATAAGGGGTGTATACATATATATATATATGCCCAAAGGTCAGCAGGTCAATGCGCTTGAGAGTCGTTGCCTAATCATCCAAGAACGGCCATGCCAAAGCGAAATCCCGTGTCGCGTGCCTCGGGAACTTTGGCCGGACAAGTGCTCCAGCGTGTATTTGGTTGGGCCGCCGTGGGACACAAAGACCAACGTCTCCTGAGTTCCGCAAGTTAGGAACCCCTGCCCTCCCGACGCCCAACCCTTCCTTTTTTTGGTATTGCGATCCTAGTAACTCCTCCGCCCCCGGACGTTCAAACCTATTTGGGGGAACTCGAAGGGGGAAGGGGGGCTTGCTAGGACGGACGTCATTGTCAATGGCGGCGGCTGGCTGGGCGGCTGGGCGGCTGGGCGGCGGCTGTCCAATTTCCCCCTCTACATTCTGATTCAAAAGGAAGCCACCCAAGGGCACCCAAACGTATTTGTCTATTTGCCTCCTGGGAAAAGAACAACATTTTAAGTATTGATAGATTCCATTTGAGACCAACAGGGGAAAACACACATATTCGAAATAGAAGGTAATCCTGAGAGACCCCTCCAGTGCGCAATCGCATGAGTGCACAAACCTGAGAGCGAGGCTTCCGCATAGCCTAGACTTCTAGACTTCGTCTGCGTGCCATGGTCATGGTTTCCCTCTAATCGGTGGTTTGCATTGGCGGGTGGGTAGCAAAGGAGGGGTTCTGTTTACCCTCTACAAGAACACGGGACCCGTTCAAATCCCAAACCACCAACGAAGGGTGGTCATGGTTTCGAGTCTGGGACCTCAAAACAAGCGATCCAAACCCCCGATCAATGTCCATCGCTATCAAGCCCAATGAGACAGGTGCACCATCTCTACTCTTGGTATGGATTTGCAACAAAAAAAACTGACTGGTTTTTGCAGACCCCAAGTAAAAATGAACAGAACCAAACAACAAAAAAAAACATGCCAAGAACAGCGAAGTTCAAAGTGGGCACCCTCACCTTCCCGACCAAATCTCAAACTTCGGGGGGCGCTGACTGTCAAGCCGCTTTGCCGCTTTGTGAGTCAAAAGCGAACCTCCCGGTCTCTTGTGAGGGTCAAAAAGCCATTTTGCCTTGAAGGGACACCAAAAGAAGCTATCAGTCTGTTGGGGTTTCTTTGGGAGACAAACCCACCTGCTTGTCCGAATCTACCCCAGTTTCACCCTTCCCTTTGATTTCAGAATGGCCAAAACAACAGCTATCCGAGGGAACGTGCCAGCAAACAATTGTCAGCTGCCAACTTGAAAGGATGATTTTCCTCGTGGTTTTCCTTTGAGCCAGCCGGGGCCCCAATCCCTGGTTTGTTTCCCCGGGACTTATTCTAAGCCAGCCAACAGGGAAACGGCAAGAAGCGGATTGCCGTTGAATCCCCTCTCACCTCTTGAGTGGATTGGCCAAAAACGCCGGGCCACAAAGCTGTTGTTTGCCGCTAAAAATCTCAGTTGTTCAGTGACCCTGGAAAAAAAGGGAACCCTTTTTTGGGCTTGGACCATTTTAGTGGGGCAGCCACCCAAAAAAAAAAAAGGGGGGAAAAGGGAGCCACTGAACAAATGGCCCAAACCCTAAAAAGTGACTCAAGTCCAGTCCGGGAATGAGACTTTCAGAGACACGTCTCTCACTTCTGGGCTGTCCAAACTGGTTGTCCAAACTGGTTAAACTCGGAAACCCAACCACTAAACCAACCAAAAACCTGCCTAAAAAGCTAAGCTGAACCGGATGATTCGCTGGGAGCCCCAAGATCTCACTTCTAACAAAGCTCCCCATTTTTCCAAACCAGAAACATCAATCCCAGGGACACTCAGCTCCGTCGCTCTTAAGGTCTCGCGCAAACCCCTGTCCCCCACCCAAAAACACACAGCTTTCATGGCCAAAAACGCGATGCAGGTGTGGCTCAAAATTAAACAGCTAGGGCGAACCGCAAGTTTGAATCTGTTCCATTTGCCAAGGAGCCACTTCCGTGTATTTGAGCCACAGTTATTTCACATTCGCGATTCATAAGTTGTGGTTTTGCTCATGTTCCCCTGTTTTTTTCATCACTACCGGAAAGATCGTCATGTTTGTCCAGGGGCCTTGAGCAAATGTCTAAGGGTTGATTCCCCATTCTTTTCAACCATCGATATTTTCAAAAACCGATCGCTGTTTGCCCTGGGTCTGATGGTTTTCCGGAAAGATCCGGATCCCTGGGTTCAGAATGGAAATGGAAGTGTCCCCTAGCAAATGTTTAATTTTTAGTGGTTTAGTGGAAAACCCATGAGTTGGCAAAGAGTTAAAGTCCTAACAGCCAAGCAAGATGCACCAAAGAAATGGCGTCGACCCGTGTCAGCCTAAGCGCATCCAAAAGTCCCCGGGGTGCTGGGCCACTTTGTGTCGCACCAGATCCGTCATACGCTGCACGATGCCCTGGTGCACCTCGAAGCTGCCCCACAAGTAGCCCTTGTCCTAAAGCGGGATGCGACGAACAAAGTCCACCTGGGAGGGGGGGGGGGGGGTTCTGTTTGTTCTTGTTGTTCTTGTTGTTGTTGCTGTTGCTGCTGCTGTTGCTGCTGCTGCTGCTGCTGCTGCTGCTGTTTCCTGTCTTTTGCGCTGTCTCGATTTTTGTTTGCGTGCTTCTTGTTTTTGAGATGTCTCCCTGTCTTTTTCCTGGGGGGGGGGGGGGCTGGGAGTGGGTCCCCTTCTTTTTTGTTTTGGCGGGGGGAGTCCAGGGGGAGGGTCTCTTTTTCTGAGGGGGCTTTCCCATCCTTTTCTTTTGGAGGTTGCTCTACTTTGAGACCAATCCATTTGGGCTCACTGTGTTTGGATTGAAACATCACCACTTCGACCCATTCAAGCTCAATTTCCCTTTGATGTGTTGACCATGAACCCGGACCTCCCCTTCTCAACCATCTGCGGTCCAAACCAACAGGCCATCTCACCAATTGCCTCACAACCAAACCCGGTCTACCCAGAACTATGCAAAGAGCTATAAGAAGGCGGCCGCACGTACTGTGAATGGCCGCGAAATCCATTTCGCACCTCGAAAAGCTAGGAATGATGATCCCCCAACAACAAATGGTTTCTCACTCCATTGGCGAACGTGCCTTTGTCCAGCCACAAATATGGAAACGCCTGAAGCACGCAACACGTCTTCTTTGAGAGGCTCGGACTATTTCAAAAGGCTTTGGACAAGCCAACGAGAGCCCCAAAAACTCACGTAAAGCGCCCTGAGGCCATGGAGTCCACATTGCTGGCGGTCCAGAAATAGAACGAACCAAACCGTCCATTTGCTTAAGCCCATCAAAAAGATGTATTTTCACGTGAGAAACCAGGCCTTTCAAAAAATACCCTTTAAAACAGGCGGGTATTTAGAGTACGGATGTGTATGGGTCGGGTCGGCCAAAGGGGCCCAAAATGGCATTCCACAGGTCAATCCCAAGTCGCGCATTTGTTGGGCAAGGCTGTGGGGCTGCCCAAAACAGGATTGAAGCAATGTTGACCTGAGTTTGTTCATCTGGGCTGTTTGACATGGTTCGTGTTGGCCACTCCGAGTTTCCATAACCCCTATAGGAATTACAAAAGGGACCAAATCCTGGCGAAACGGAAGGTAAGGATAAAGGATTACCTTTGAACAGCCCAGCTTAATCAACCCCTGCTTAAGAATAGGGGTGTGGGGAGTGGTCTGATTCCAACCACATTTCACCCGGAGGGGGTGTCCTATTCATTAACTGATTTTTTTTATGGGGTCAACATTGCGCACAAGAGGGAAGTGGCCAAACGCCTGCCCAAAGCCGTGTTTGGAGGATAAAGCACTCAAGTGTTTTTTTTTTGGGCGGGGGGGGCAAAAAAAACACGACTTGTGCAAGGCATTGTCTTTGTGGGTTGGTTTGACCCGCTTCCCTCCTCCAAACCCACTATTTTGGACATTCCTCTTTGGGCCAGGGCACGTGCAGGGAGTTGCTGGCTCGGTATTCGAGGTCCACCTGGCGATGCTCCAGGGTTTGCAAATTGCATGGGTGGGTGGGTTGGGTTGGGTGGGTGGGTGGGTGGTTCATGGTGGTTCTTGGAATAGATGCGAACCCATGACATAATCGCCCCCGGTGCAACATACGAGTATGTTCAAGTGAAATCTATTCCCTTGAAAAAACACGGAAAACAAACAAATACGAAGAATGGAAGTCATACGTGTTTGTTTTCTCCGTCATGCTGATGAACTAGGAAACATGAGAGGTAATGCTGTGCATTGCGTGCGTTGCTTTACAATGATACGCTTGCGGAGAGAAACACGTGTCCAACAATCAAGTTGGCATTTTCAAGCATGGAGTTCAGAGGTATGGATGCTTAAAGCTTGCATGGCATACATACCCCTTACTGGGCCCCTTACTGTGCGCCCTCCATACCTCCAACCCTTTCGCTGAACATGTGAACTTGAAACGTGAGACAAGGAACAACCTGCCATTTTGGGTTTGTCTTGAAACAGGGACCCACACAAATTGCGGTTGTCCTTTTTGTTCCTCTTGGACACCACCTCAAAAAGGGTACCATCAAATATTAGACACACCCATTTGTTGCTTCCCCTTCCACACAAACAGTCGCCTTTTTGCTGCAAATAGAAGCCACCGGCTCGGCTGCTGCCATTCGAGGGAAGAACGGACCCAAAAGCCAGACTAAAGGAGTAAGCCCACATGGCCCCAATACAAAAAAACTAAAAGACCCGAAAGCTTCGGACAACCTTGACAAGACAGGGACCCTATGCATGAGTTACATGATCAGTCTTCTTGGTTGCTGTTGACCCCTCTGCAAGAACAACTAGGTCCCCTTTTTTTCTGTAGTCTATTTTAATAGGGGAACCCTCCCAACAAAAAAAGGTGTCAAGAGGGCACTACTGGGGGACCTAGACAATATGAATATGGGTCCAATGGGCAATTATCAGAAAGTTAAAGTCCAAAGGTCCAACCACACAGCCGTAAATCTAGGGGTTGGTTCCCCATTCTTTTCAGCCATCGTTCTTTGCAAAAACCAGCAATTTCCCCAGGGGTTCTGATGTTTTTCTGGAAAGAAGGATCCCTGGAAAGATTGGGGAAGTGTCCCCTAGAATAAAGCGTTTTCGTCCAGAAAAACGGCCCCCGGCCAGGAGGTCCCTGTCTGCCTCATGCGCAGGGTTAGGCCACTAACCTTTTTGGGTCCTTAATTGAAGCGCAAAAAGGAAAACAGCAGATCAAACAAAGTGATGACCCTTTTTAGGGGAGTCCAAACTTGAAATCCAAAATTGAAACTTTAACTCGAAGACCATTTTGGGGAGTCCAAGTGGGTCCCACCTTTGTTGGCTCCCCTGAAAGAAATGGACAACATATTTCCAGCTGTGATAGCCAAAGAGGCGGAGAACTACACATCTGCGTCTGTCGTTTCTGTAGCTTCATGTCGAAAAACCACGAAGGAAACCCACCCATGGGCATGCTCTCAATTGTTCAGTGATCCTGGAAAAAAAGGGAACCCTTTTTGGGGAAGACCATTTTTAGTGGGGCAAACAGGGAAAATCATTGGTGCCACTGAAGAACTGAGTGTTTTTGGGCCCAGTCGGCCGTCGGCAACCCGGCGCCTGCCAACCCATGGACTTCAACTCCTCCGCCGTGTGCAGCAAGGACCGGGTTCCTAGCGGAAGGATAAATCAAAGGGTTGGGTTACAGGAAATTCTACGGGAAAACAGCTGATTTAGGGTGTTTTGGGACCATTTCCTGTAGAATTTCCTGCAACCAAACCCTTTGAAGCAAACAAAACGGAACGCAGGGGTCACAAAACTCGCCGGTTCTCAGGGGCTGAATGGCCCAGGAAGTTCTTCAGGAAGTTTGCCCACCCACCTGGTTTTTGTGCGGGCATTTGGCATGGTTTGGCAGAACTAGACGGGCTCCATTGGTTTAGGTGGGTGTTTGTGTCATCCATTTACCAGGGAAGCGTATCTAAGGATAATCTATGGGCATGCGGCGATGTTGTTTTCCGGGAGAGTCTCCTGGAAATGTCTTACCTTGCTGGTGCGATAGGTAGGGAATGACCAAGCCAGGGTGGGGGTAGAAGGGGATTCCCGTAAAGCAAGCATCGCCCCCACCTTCAGGGGGAGAGGGGGGCGGGGGGTCCCCTAATTCCATTTATCTCGCCTTCGCCACAAAGGGAAAATGGAACCATAAATGGAATTCCAGGGGTCCCCCCCTCCCCCAATTCCATTTTAAGGGGCTGGAAGGAAGATGGCCGTAAATGGAATGAATCCAATCTGAACCAAATGAGCCCATCTACTACCCAAACTAACCTAAACAGGACACCTGCCGTGGATGGACGAAATCCATTTCGCACCACCCAAGATGAAATGATTCAATTCCCCCAACGCAAAGGCCAAACACGTTGTGATTGCAAGAGTGGTGTGATTTTCGGTGGTGCGAAATGGACTTCGCATGAATCTATCGTCTAGGGTGCTTCCCTTCCGTTTGCTGAATTTTACTTTGTTCCCTTGTGGTGTCAAACGAAGCTGTCACTGGAACTCTTGTTATTTCTTCCAGGCGGCTGCGCCACCCAACCCTGGAAGGATGATTGATCCCCCCTGTAACTGCCAACGCACCAATGGTTTCAGCCGTGGTTTCCTAGGTGCTACGAAATGGATTGCGCCCATCCACGGGGTATGTCCCATCAAAGTGTGGTTTGCCTTTTGGCCTCTGTTAAAACCACACAAAAAACGGGGTACCAACTCAACACAAACAGGAGCCACCCATATGGACCTATCTCAGCCTTTGCTTTAACTCTGAGGAGATCCGACTTCAATCAGTCTGAACTCTGAGACTCTGAACTTTTTGTTTACTAAAATAGTCCCGGTGACTAACATCCCTCAGTTGCTTTCTGCTCCTCTGCTACAAGTTTTAACTTTGCGTGGTTTAATACGGAAAACCCGTTAGTTGGCAAAACGGTTAAAGTCCTAACATCCCTTGGCAAAATGCTCCAAAGTTGTGCTCTTGCGCCCCATTCCTGCAGAAAAAAATGATAGATTCCCTCTAAGAAACCACCTATGAAAAAAATAATAATATAAATATGCATTCCTTATTGAGCTCCAAATATGCATTTTTTGAGCTCAGCTCATTCCCTCTAAGAAATTCCGCCAGTCTGGATCCATTTGGAGCTCAGGGAGTGAGACGGATGCCATCGGATCGGCGGTCCTTGCAGCGCCTCGGGCCGCAGCAGCTCCAAGTCCACCGCGGGGCCCCGCAGCTTGCTGGGGTCCAGGGACCGGTCCTCTCCGAAGCTCCGAAGCTCCGAAGCTCCGAAGCTCCGAAGCTCCGAAGGCCGCGGAAGGCCGGGCTGCGGAAGGCGGGGAATGCAGCGGATCTAATTGTAGCCACCCAACCATCTCCGGGGACCTAGCCACCTAACCACCCAACCACCCAACCACCACCCCTCACCACCCAACCCAACAAGAAAGGGAACAACGCTCCCATTTGCCTTTTTCGCCGAATCGGAATGATGGCGTCCAGTTTGCTCAGCTTGCCTCCAAGCCTCTTGTTTGGAGCCGGTGGTTTGGTGGTCTTTAGGAGGGGTTCCCATTCATCTACAAAAGCCAGGGGGTCAAGCCAGGGGTTTCCCATTCACCAACGTTGGGCCACATCTAAGGGGATCAACCACTGCCAACATGAGTTCCAAATAGCGTTCCATGGTTGCAACCGAACGGGAAATGGGGGTGTCTCTTGTTGTTTTGGTACCCTTTTTTGGTTGGTTTAAAGTTTAAAGGGAAACTACGGCACCGTGCTTCTATTTTATTAGTCCATTTGTTTAAGCCCCAAATTCAATTTGGTAGGATGCGGTAGGGGGTGGCTTCATTCAGTGCCCAATTCTTTTGCACATGTCTGGGCACAAAAGGGGAAGAACGGATAGAACCTAGGTCCTCCTAGCAGAGAGGTTAGAAGAAGGGTACCCGCTTTTCTGTAGTCTATTGTTGTAGAGGAACCCTCCCAACCAAAAAAAAGTACAAGGGCCTAGTAACAAGCTGAAAAGCGGCAACCATGAAATCTTGCACCTCCGGGACCCAAGGACTGGAAAGTAGATAGCACGGTTCTTTGGTTTCTTTTGGATCCCGGCCCCTGACTATGGGCGGACGAAATCCTGCACCTAAGAAACCCTGATGCTAACGAACGTTATGGTTTCAACCATGGTTTCAAAGTGGAGCGAAATGGACATCGCAACCAGCCACAGTATAAAGGTGAGATCACCTGTTGAGGCCACCTTTTGAAGCTCAAAAACGGGGGGGGGGGGGCGTTCACCCAAAAGGAGTTTCCTCTACAAATGGGTGGGCTTTTTGGAGCTTAAGATGTCAATTTGGCGCGTATTGCGATGGGAAGCTTCAAATCATCGGCATTCGGACCCTAAGCAGCCCTGCACATTGGAAAGGGCAGCCCTGGACCGTTTCTGCCTGCGGCCAAAGCCAGGTCTGTGACCCCTGTGACCTCTAAATCCCAACTGGGTCCCCAGTAATTAGTGCCATTTCTCACCCCTTTGTTGGGTTGGGAGGGTTCCCCTACTAAAATAGACCACAGAGAAAGGTTGGTACCCTTTTTCTGACCTCTCCACTGGAGGACCTAGGAGGGTTTCCCCCGCGAAGAAAAAAAAAACAACTTCCAGTGGATTGCCTTGCCCCAACTCTTGGGATTTTGGGCCAGTTTTGAAGGGACACGGCCCTGTACAGTCAATCTTTCTGGGTGAATTACAACGACCTCACACAACCGAATTCACCCCAAACGGTGGTTTATGTGGGGACTCTTCCCCCAACCACCTTATTCCAGGTTGGTGAAATATCCTCACTGGCTGAGTGGATGGCCCAAAAAAAGCAGCCACACTTTATATTTACCACAAAAATGGTCCAAACCCAAAAAGTTTAAAGTTCATGAACTCAGGAAGTGAGTATTATAGTTCACCCAGATCGTTCCCATTTCCAGTGGCTCCAAAAAGGGGTCCAGGGCTGCTTAGGGTCCTAACAAATCCCATGATTTGAAGCTTCCCATCGCAATCATACGCGCCAAATTGACATGAAGCTCCAAAAAGCCCACCCATTTGTACAAAAAAACTCCTTTTGGGTGAACCCCCCCCTGGCTGAGCTCCTTCCGTTTACCTGGGGGGTCTCTTCAGGTCAACTCGGCCCAGCACCCCCGTCCGACTTCACCCTGGCTGACGGTGGCCCGCCCCAGTCGCTATTGGCGCCCGGCACCGCCCATTGCCTCGATCGAACCAACGCGCCGCATCCGGGTATAGTCTAATTTGCTGGTTCTCAGCAGGAATGCGTGAATGACCCCTATACACCATCCCTAGGCCCGCGAATAAGCGCCACATGCGCATGGAATAGATGGGTTCCCCTGCCAAATAAGGCATAAAACCAATCTAAACCTGTGCAACTCATTTATTTCTAACCAATCTAAGCGATTAACGGACTCCTACGCAAATTCCCACAAAATACTTCCTTAAGAACTTCCTGGAAGTGGCTTTTGAGAAAGGCAGGGGAGGATTTGGGTGAGGGTAAAACGCTACCCAAAATGGAACCCTGGTATATGGACACAAGGACTCGGACCTGCACTCCCCTGGTGGTGAAATTTTGACTCATACTCATACCTTTTGTAGTGGTGCTAATAGTTCGACGCAAGACAGCGCAAACTCAATACCACAAGCTCCCGTGCAACCATGTCGGACATTTCCCGACAGCCGAGTGGCCGCATCCAGCACTCATTGATGGACTCCGCCAAATCGTCCTGGATCCCACTTAATGTTAACCCCGGATTAATAAACCCCTGGTTGATTTTGATCGGGGGATGTCCCCCTTTAGTGGGGATTCATCACTTTTGGAGGGGTTTTCACCCCCCTAATGCTGGGACGGGTTCTACTTAGATCCGGGGTCGACATTAAGGCCGGCCTCTCCTCCAACTCCCCCAATCCTTGGATATTTCTGACCGCCAGCTAGACATGGACAAAACCCAAAGCAAAACACGAGCCCGGTGAACCAAGTTCGAAAGCCTCTTCGGTCCCAGCTTCCGAATTGGCGGCTTGGTTTTGCAAGTTAAATGTTGGCGGGTGACTTCCCATTTAACCTCAGCAAGAACCAGGGGTTCAAATCCAAATCCAAGCCATCAATCCTAACCAACTGAGTTTAACCTGATCTTCATGTGTTTCAATTGGGTGTGTTGAATGGGAATCGGACCTAGGTTTCCTGGTGGTTTCCCTTCAAACCAACAGCGAAACCAGCGCAAGCCATCCGTCAAATTGTGGAGGGTCTCGTTCTTGGGGTTGAAAACAACGAGAAAACACAACAACAAAAACAACAACAAGAATTTACCTTTGGGGGTGGTCCAATATTGAGACACGCACATGGATTTCTTGATTGCGGCGTGCCTTCGCCCATCCGCCCTTTCGGAGCTTTCACTCCAGAGTCGGAACGCTGCGCCCCGGATCAATTTTCAAGGTCGGGATCGATACCTCGAATTCGTCAAATCCATGTGTAAACACCAAAAACCACCTCTAAGGGCCGATTCGGTCCAAGAAATGGCAATCAAAGTCTATCGTTTATTCAGCTTTTCTCTAACTGGTGGTTTGGAGCCCGGGTTGGTGGTCTTCCAAACAGGTTTCCCCTTTACCCTCTACCAGAGCCAGGGACCCGTTCCCAAATCGAAATCCAAACCGAGATCCAAACCACCAACCTGACGGGTGACGTGAGTCATGATCGCACCTCAGCCGGAAAACGGGCGTTTCGTCGTCTTTGGGCGGCTTCCGTGCCGTGAAGTTTTTTCTCCATGCCTTATCTTGTAGCACTGCTCACTTCCGAACGAGTGGACGGGCCAAAAAAGTCCGGGAACCTTGTGTTTACCACCAAAACTTCCTCAGTTGTTCAGTGACCCTGGAGAAAAAGAAGCGAACCCTTTTTGGGGACCACTTTTAGTGGGGCAGCCACAAAAAAAAAGGAAAAAGAGACTCGGTGCCACTGAACAACTGAGAAACGGTCTAAACCCAAAACGTAAGCTCCAGAACTCGGGGAGCTGAGTTTGCCAAAAGCTTAGCCAAAATCCAGCGGTGAGCCAAAAGCACAGCTTCAAAATCCGGGCGTCTTCAGCTGCCCGGCTCGTCCAAAGTCTTTTGGCCTTGCTTGCGTCCAGTTTTCCACAAATAGGTCCTCCAGTAGAAAAAATAGAACAAGGATACCCTTCTTTCTGTAGTCAATTTTAATAGGGGAACCCTCCGCCCAAAAAGGGTAAAAGCACTACTGGGGGACCCAGATAAGAACCGGAGTTCACTTCAAACCCCCGGGCTCCAAACAACAAACCAGGCTCCAAACAACAAACTACCTAGATCGCCAAGTTGCTGTTGTTGTTCAGTCACTGTTGTTGGTTTTTGGGGTGAAGCGCATGGAGAAAACAACAACAACTGGCGATCCAGGTAAGCATGAACTGATACGAGCAAAAGACACCATCCCATTGGACAGGCAACCAGGATCCGCCAGCCCCTCCTCCACGCAGAGACTGGGCACCTGCACCCAAGATCTTGGTCAATGTTCGGGCTACTTTCCCTAAGACTTATCTGGACAGTAAGAGGCGCCTGCATGAAAGGGGCAGGAGAATATCTTTCAGGCCTCCATCCAAGTGGTCAGTTTACATTCTTTCTTGGCAGCTGTGTCCAGCACACCGTAGTTTCCCATCATGGGGTATGCCATATTCTTCCATTTGCTTAAGCCCCCTGAAAAAAAAAAAAAACATTTCCAGTAGTGAAAGATTCCCTTTGAAACCAGCAGGGCAAAATACAGAATATTCTTAAGCAAATGGTTGTATTGAGTCTTTGTCCTTGCAAGGATGGCTGAAGCTCTGAAAGCTACGAGGGTTCGTGAAGAATGCGCTCCTTTTGGGGGAAGCCCAGAACTCACGTCCATCAATCTGACCACAACTGAAAGAATAAAACTGCTGTTCTTTCATCAAGCAGCTGTGAACAGTGTTGGTCAAACTTTGGGTAAACGAAGTGAATTACGGAATCCCTAAGGCGTAGGTACAAGGATTGGTAGCTGAGAGCCCCTTTCGGGTTCCTTGAGGTTCCTTAGCGTTCCTCAAGGTTCCTCAAAATTCCTCAGGGAGCCTTTGCGAACCCTTCCTGGGCGGGACTCCATACATGAATGGAGGCAAAGACATTTTTCACACCCCTCCAAATGTACCCACTTTTATTGGCACCATGATTCTACAACTACCAAAGTCACCCCCCCAAATGGTACAGTTACCCAGATGCCCAAAGAGCACACAAGAAACTTCCATTTGGCTAAGGCCCCAGGACAAAAACATATTTGCAGTGATGCATTCCTTTTAAACCCAACGAGGGGGAAAAAACATCTTAAGCAAATGGAGGGAAGGTTAAGCTTTTCTCGGTTGCTTTCTGCTCCCCTGCTAAAAGTGAATAACTTTTAGTGGTTTAATACGGAATATTTGGCAAACAGTTGTTCAGTCCTAACATCCCTTGGCAAAATGCAAAAAAGCTTTGGGACCATCACTCAAAATGCACAAAGAAAAAGCCCGAAGGCTCAAAGCCTAGCCTCTCCCGCAGTAGGCGGACAAAAGGGGCCGAATTGGCGGTCTTCCTTTTGCTTCCTCTTGAACGCCGTCCCAAAAGCTTGGTTGCTGCAACGACCCCCCTGCAAAAAGTTGAGCACTTGGGTTTAGTGGAAAACCCAACTTGATTTCAACCAACAAGTTATAAAAGTCGAAAGATCCGTTGCCCAAGAGCAGTCCAGCGGTACCCATTTGTACCCCACAGCCACATCGGCTCCGAGTCTGATGACCAACACCCAGGGAGCAATCAAAGGGGATCCCAGTGAACTGGACGAAATCCTGCAAAGACGCTCGGCTTTGGGCCTTGAGTTTCTTAGGCGATGAACGGATTCCGCAACCATCCGCCGGATAACCAACAAAAACAATACAAGAAGAAAGCAACATAAGGAATAAGAAGAAAAGCAAAACAACCACCAACCAAACAAAAAAAAAAACATCATCCTGATTTGTTGGACTAGAACAAACAGCAGAAGAAGGGAAAAACAGCGCCGCCGCCCGCCGCCCGGCGTTGGCACTTTCTCCAAAGGCCCTTGGCTCTTGGGCCTCGAACTGCTGCGCCACGAAGTCGGCCGTCTCCACGCAGCGCACCAAGGGCCTTCGGTCGCGCCGCTCGGGTCGCTGCTCGGTTCGCCGCTCGGCTCGGGTCGGGTCGGCCCCCCCTTTGGTTTCAGTGGGGAATCAGACCCTGGTAAAATGGGATAATAATATGGCCCACAAGTGGGTAACCAGGGAAGGGGTAATGAACACCCCCTACTAATACAGCCCTGTTGATTAATATGGGGGTGTCCCTGGCTTTTGTGCGGGGAGGGGTGTTCCCCCACCCCCCTATGAATAAACTGGGGTTGATTAACAGGGGGTCAACCCACGAACTTCCATTTGCTTTAGCCCCCTGGAAAAAAATGACAACAAATGATAAAAAGTGCTTGATTCCTTTTAAAACCAAGGGGAACAAAACAAACCATATTGTTAAGCAAATGGAAGGAGCTGACGCCGTGTTTTTTAACAACAAAAGTCCTGGAGGGAGACTCATCTCCGCCTAGGTCCTCCAGTAGAGAGGTTAGAATAAGGGTACCTTTTTGTTCTGTAGTCTATTTTAGTAGGGGACCCCTCCCCAAAAAAGGGGGTAAACGGGCACCTAGCTGGGGGACCTAGCCTCTCATGGCGACCATGACACTCAAATCATCTCAAACACACACTCAGTCTTCCACGAAAGCCAGCGTATGTCGGCTCTTTGCAGTGCCGCTGCGTAGCAGAGGCGTGCCATGAAATGGGAAACACACCCTTCCATTTGCTTAAGCCCACTTTGTTTTTGTTTTAATATATTTCCAATTGTGATAGATTCCCTTTAAAACCAACAGGGCAAAAAAACAATATTCTTAAGCAACTGGACCAAAAACAAAGGTACTCTTACACTCCAAACCTTGTCCATACCCTAAGAGGTTCTCCGAGGGGAGGCCCCCGAAGGAACCGCAATGGAACCCGTTTTGGGAACCCGTTTTGGGAACTCGAAAGGGGCTTACTACTACCAAGCCCCTTGTACCGACCCCCGTACTTGCATTTTGCTTTTCAGCCTCCTTGAAAAGCAAACAACTATTCAAGCAAAATCAGTTGCAGTTAAGACCGAGAAGGGAAAATAAGAAATATCCTGGAAGGCCAATCAAAGACGTCCTTGTCCATTCCTATAAATAGACAACCACAAGGGACCAAGTGAGCGCCACATGAAGCAGGTAGGCATGTAATACATGTAATACCTATTCTGTCCAGCCACAAACGGAGCATTCAGCTTGGTGCAGCACACCTTTGCATAGGCAGCCGGTTTGCTTCAGTGCTCTCACTCACCAGTGTGTCACCTTCTGAGTACAGGTGACGCCATGGAACTGTCTCAGCTGGTAAAAGGTGAGCAACATCTCGGCCCACAACAAAGGGGCAAGGCTGCGCAAGGACTGCAAGCGCTAAAACTGCTAACGTTAACCAGTTGCCGGAACTTGGCCCACATGTTTGGTAGCTAAGATTGTCTGATTCTGCTTCATAAACCGTCTACCCTATACAAATGAAATAGTTTTGGGGGAGCCCCATATATATGAGGGTGTCACAATAGGGGAAGCCCAAAGCTGTCCAATTTCCTGTTGGATTCCTAACCCTTTTGTTGGCTTGACAAAGGAGCCACAGGGAAATGTGTTTTGGGTCTTGCTAAGATTTAAACAAACATAGTTGAACTTGAGCTTCCTCTCAAAACGTGAAAAAAAACGGACGCTCACAGCGTCCCCGCTCTCCAAAAATAATTTTGGGGGTGGGTCCCCGACAACCAGAACCCCCTTTTTGTCCCACGTCGCGCCCTGGCGCTTTCCATGGCTCTTGTGGCTCTGTCCCCGAATAAACCAATAGTTCACCCCCTTGTTGTGGCTTCCCTTGCCTGAAAGAATGCATGGATGCACGGAATGACTGAATGAATGAGTGAACAAATGACTGACTGTCCGACTGAAGGCAAATAATGAACTAGCAAAATACACGCATAGTTGCTTGTGTTTCACAACGCTCTTGCACGTACATGTGCACATATATATATATACACCATATAAATCTGTTTAAGAGGAACACCTCCTGAAACCTGAAACCTAAACACCAACAAGGGAAAATAAGAACATATTCTTAAGCAAATGGAAGGAACAGCTCCTGCATCCTGAAACTCAAGCCAAGGGGCGAGGTAAAGATCCTGGAGGCTGGCGGCAAGCCGAAGAAATCCAGCACCTGCCATCCGCCGCTCTCGGGCGCCCCGTCGATGTCGCCGGAACTCATCCGATCTTCGGATCCCAGAAAACAGGCCGCCTGTTTTTGGGGTAAGCGAAGCCCGCCCCAGATGTGCCATGGCCAAACGACCGAAAATCTTTGCTTGGAGTTGAGCCTGGTAGTATGCTTGCTTTGTTTTTTTGTGTTTTTTGTTTTTTTTTGGGGGGGGTAGGGGGCCAACAAACGTACCCTCAGTTTTGGGGCAAATGAACCCTTCAGGAACCACCGTCAAGATGTGCCATGGTCTTTGAACCATGACCATAGGTCATAGGAGTTTTGGCCATAGCTTCCTGTGTGTCTTTGCGTTGGGGACCCCCAACATCGTAGTTGTCCTGTAGGTGTCCTTTGCAAAGCACCCCCCCAAAAAAAGGTATACCCAAAAAAGCCACGGCGATTTGTTTCTACAGTTTTGACCATAGCTTCCCTTGAAAACCTCGTTTTCCCACAAACAAGACACTAAGGCCTTGGTTCGAGTACAAGGAGGGGCCTACGGTCTGCGCAAGGCCTGCAAAAAAGCACTGGAAATCGTTAACTTATCAGTTGCTAGTGTCTTGGTCACATAAGGTACGCAAAAAATCGTATATCCAAACCCTGCTTAATTTAGTCTACTCCTTGGGACCATGACGAAGCATAGGCCTAAGGAAAAGGGTGTCTCAATTCAAGGGGAATCCTTCACCTTGAAAACATTATGGGACATATCTGGGTTCCGGCCCTGTGCATTTCCACGGCCTTTTTCTGTTGGATGATGGTTCACCTGTTCTTGTATTTTGCCGAATTGTTAGTCTTGCTGAGTGGTTCTCAGAAAACAATGCGGGTTTTTTGGGAATGTACCTGTGGACATAGCACAAGGGAGTTCAGTTCGGGGTGGTGCCAACTCATTCCCTGAGAGCCGGCAGGGGTGTTTGGTTGTCGGTTCCTTCGAGTCTTCGATGGTCTAGCCCGAAAACTGCCAAAATCAAGATGTGTACAAACACCTTGAACCTTAAACCTGCGGTTTATGCCAAGTCAAGATTGCAAGTGAACCAACCACACACCATGGTTGATTTACCGGGTTCCTGTTCATTGCCCTGCTTGCAGTTTTGAGTTGGCATCCACCGTAGGAATCGAACCGGGAACATACAAAAGACTTTGCGATGAAGTGGTTGTAATGTCCACCTACGACTAGCAACCCCTGAATAAAGCTTTGTCCCAAACCAAACAATAAACTACCCCTGAATAAAGCTAAACTTTCCCTTCCCCCCCCCCAAACAAAAAAATGCCTAAACTAAACTATGCGGAATTAATCCAAGATCGATTGCCCCTGTTGACCCAAAGGGTCAGATCTGGATTCGCTTTGGGCAGGTGGTATGCCCATTCTTCTCACTCGCGTAGATTGCTCAAAGAAGTAATTCATCACACGTTCGCAGCAAAATGGCAAACGAACCCAAAGTGTGACTTAAGTCCGAAAAGGAACTCCTCTGTGCCTGTTTTGGAGTTACTTTCTTTGTGGCTCAAAAAAATAGACCATGGAGCGGGATTTTTTGAACCACTGCGTCTCTTTAAAACTGGTACATGGGGCTTTCCCATCCCTAACATCACCTAACATCACCTAAGGTCACCTAACATCACCCAACCACCGAACCACCTAATCACCTCTCCACCCCAAAAGAACGCACGTCTCCGTGGCTTCCCACTTAGGGCCACCCAAATCCTCCCCCCTTCCCCTCCCCCCCGCTTCCGCCAGCGTCCGCGTGCGTCCGTTTCCGCGCGCCTGGCGCAGGCGCTGGGCCGCCGCGAGCGCCTGGCGCCGGCCATGGGGCGCCAGCTTGGGGTCCCAGGGCCGCGGGCTGCCGCGGATCCACTCCGCGCCTTGGCCGCCCACCTGCTGAGCTCGCGTGGCGTCGCGGAACCCCCGGAGCGGCAAGTCCGGCCCCGGAACCCCGGAAAAAAAAAGGGGGGCTTTGGGGCTTGGGAATGACCCAGAAGGGAAAAGGAAACCTAGAGGGGATGGTGTGTAGGAGTCTCTGGCAACCTGTGTTTGTAGTGGGCTTATGATCATTCAAGGGAATCCAGCTCAAACCCATATGATTGTATCTTTGTGCTTGTGTGGCTTTGTGTGGCGACTTCTTGCTGCTCAACATGTGGGATTGCTATATATTATTGGGGTGGTCAAAAACGGTAACCCCAAAATGGGCGGATCCACGCCCCACAAAGGGCAACGGTCTTCCATGTGGCTTCCCCTAACCTGGCCTCTAAGCATCTTCCTTTCGGCTTCGAAAGGGTTCCCTTGGCCTACATAGACCTAAATGGATCCACAGGGCTTGCTTGATAATCTGTTTTAAGCTCTAAACATGTTACTTTTGGTTTCCCCCAAGCCAGGCAACCCCCCTCCCACCCCCGCGGGTTCCTCCAAACCCTCCAAGACTGGCTTCGTGTTTCCCTTGATTTCCCCGACCAAATGACCAAAACAACCTCCGACCACGAACCCCTGGCCCCTCCAAAGGGAATAAAGGGATGGGGAAGGGGGTGTTTAAGCTCAGTTGACCCAGGGTCGCAGAAGCTTGGATGCCAAAAAGTTCATGCCCAAATCCGGGGCAAACATAAGTTTACATATCTGAGGGTTGTCAAAGTCAATAAAAATGGGGTTGTTTCCTACAAAAAACCAGGTCCGATCCCCCAACTCCAAAACACTGGTTATTCTGAGTCGAGCTTCTCACTTCCCACAACCAAAAAGTCCCTTCTGTGGACCCATTTACCTGCATAAGTCTGAGTGAGTAGGTAGGTAAGGGAACCCTTTCCAAACCAAAAGGAAGATGGTTAGAGCTTCAGGTTCAACCACATAACAATTTCCTCTACTCATCTTTCTTTCGACCCACACTAGGTCCTCCAGTAGTAGAGAGGTTAGACTAAGGGCACCCTTTTTTTCTGTAATCAATTTTAGTAGGGGAACCCTCCCCAAAAAAAACGGTTAAAGGGCACCTAGCTGGGGGACCTAGTTGTAGTTGGGGTAATTACCTAGTTCCACAAACCCATCTTGGTTGCTGCAACGACCCCCCTGCAAAAATTGTTATATATATTTTGGGTGTTTAGTGGAAAACCCAACTTGATTTCAACCCAAAAGTGAAAGTCTAAAGATCCGTTGCCCAATAGCAGTCAAGACCAAACCCGCCTTCTCGGCCATATAGTCCTCCCGCTCGCCATGGCGCAGCAGCACCACCACCCCCGGCGCCGCCGGCGGCGCAGCTGTCGCCGCCATCTCCGCCATGCGCCGCAGGCCGAGGCAACAGAAGCCGACGCCCAGGGGCCAGCGGCGCATGAAGTGACTGACTGCTGCTGTCCGACTTGTCCGGGGGGTGAAACGCGGGAAACTTGGCCAGGGATCCGCTTCTTTCCAGAACAAACCTCCCAGAAACCCGGGGAAAGCGGCCAGTTTTTGAGAAGAATGATGGTTGAAAAGAATGGGGAATCATCCACTAGAAGCTTGGGAGCAAGCTAGGTAAGGATAAGCAAGCGAATGCATGTCAGGTGGTGGATAGACCTACTTGCTAGGGGTGCGAAATTATGACATACGTCTGCGTGCGTGGGCGAATGAAGGCAGCTCAAGCATGTTTCGCCCATGATGTCCCAGTGGCCCTTGCGATTGGCACATTTGGGCGTGTCTGTCTGTCCCAAATATGGCTTGCCTTTTGGTATCCCTTTAAAACCGCCCCAAAACAGGTACCCCCCTCAAAAAAGAGAGACATAGTTGCTTTTGGCACGACTCATGTTCTGATCGGCTCACATTGCTCGGAGCAGCAGCTTGAAAAGCAAAAAGCCAAGAGCGAGGGCTGAACCACGTGCCGCGGTGGGTTCCCCAAATCTAGATGGGGCGTGTCAAACTAGGAGGGCCCACAAACGACGGTTTCCTCTCTGATGCTGCTTCAGGGTGTTCCCCAGAGGGCGCAATCCAAGCCACCAATCTGTCTGCAGGAAAAAGCAACAAAGGCAATCGATAAATCCCATAGCTGCAGTGGTAAAAGGAATTCAAAATGGTCACCTCTTGCTGCATCGGATGACCCTCAGCAAAAACCACCAAACAAACGACTTCCCTGCATGGGAAAGGCTACCCATGATCATTTGGGGGCCCGGAATATTGATCAACCCCATTCGCTTTTTCAGGAAAGACCCCCCAACACAGTTGAACGGACATTCGTCACCGGAAGCCTGGTAAAAAAAAGAAGAGAAAAAAGAGATTCCCTTCAGCTGATTTGTTGGGCGTTTCAAATCCAGCCACAAATCCAGACTGCGTGGGGTAACCCGCAAGAGAGACCAGTGGAAAAACATGTCAGCTTCCTTCCTATTGGAGGCTTGGATTTGTGGTGTGGAGATGTTTCCCATTTATCCTCTCCACAAGCTAGGGGTCGAATCCACCAATCCAAGCCACCAACTAAGGGAAGCCTGACAAGAAAGACGAGAAGAAAAATAACATGTCAGCTTCCCACTATTTGGGTGGGATCGAGTGGCTTGGATTTGGATTTGAGCGCCTGGTTCTTGTGGGTACATGAGAAACCACCCGGGACACCTCCAAACCACCGATTCGGCTCCGAACCAACCAGCGGGAAGCTTCTAGGGGATGATTCCCCATGCCGGAAGCCGAATGGAGATTCCGTTTTCGGTAAGCTAAATGGAGAGCCACCCCTTTCAGTGTCTAAAAAGGGGGTTTTCCTCATTTTTCTATGAGTTGCTTTCTTGACCATTCTTTTCAGCCATCCTTCTTTTCAAAAACCGATCAACATTTCCCCAGGGTTTTGGGTGGTTTTCTAGAAAGAAGGATCCCTGGAAAGAATGGGGAAGTTACCCCTAGATTTTTGGTGTTAGCCAAGTTGACTCAGGGAAGCAGGAGGTCTGGGCCAAACCAAAAGGTGTTTAAAAAGTCTCGGAACGGGAGTGAGACAAGACTTTCCCATTTCTCGGTAGACAGCAACATGCGGTTTGCAGCCGAAAGGCAACAAAAAACATAAACCCATGCCAGCCACAGTGAAGACAAAACTCTTCCGATGGCCTACGGCGCCGTACGCCGCCCAAAAAAGGCGCAGTTTTGCACGTGGGGCTCCTTGAGCTGCTCTCTCGAGCTGCTCGCCTCAGGCCTCGCCAGGTGTCGGTCTGTCATTTCCCGATGAAATCTGACGTTTGGAGGTCTGAAGAAGGGACAGTCCAAGAGGGTTACAGGGAACCCCATTTTCTGACTTTGACCCCATTTTCAGAGACTAGGTCCTCCAGTAGAGAGGAGGAAGAATAAGGGTACCCAATTTTTCTGTAGTCTGTTTTAGTAGCCCGAAAAAAGGGTAAAGGGCACTACTGGGGGACCTAGTTACCTTACGCAAATGAACGTTTTTTTGAGGCAGTCACACTAAAACGAAGCTTCCCGGGTGGTTTGGTCAAGCCATTGGCCCCTCGTGAGGGTTTTTGCCACGCCTTGTTTCCCGAAACAACCTCTGAAACCGTGAAATGACCAAGTGGGTTGTAACAAGGTTTGATTTGTAAGCCGGTCAAACCGCTCTGGTAGAAACCAAAGTAGCTCAATTCTGGGCACCCTCCCCCCCCCAAAAGAAAAGGAGCAAGATCAGCCTCAAATAAGGCCAACAACAAGACGCCTGCTCGATGAACTAGATGCTGACCTCTTCTCGGAGGATTGGAGCCAAGCAAGCTACAATCATCTTACCCAACCCCTGGCATGTTTGTTTGCAAAACACCGAATGGACAAGCCCTGACCACATAGATGTGAACCAGGAGAACAAACACAACACAAACATGGTAAACAAGGAACAACTAAACCACATACCAGCGAGCAAAACACTCAAACACACACCAAGAGCCTGCTAGGCTAATCCCTTTAGGAGACCTTGGCAACCATGTGCATTGACAAGGCCCTACAATGGAAAAAACAAAGCTGTGTAACCCGAGGGCAACCTTTGGCTTGCGTCACTAGTTCTGCCAAAACATGATCACTACCATGTTCAGCCCCTGGTATGGAAGCAACAGCATTCTGTTGCAGCCAACTACTAAACATGAACCAAACAATCATGCCGACAAAGGGTGAAGCTCTATGTCAATGTTTCTGTCTGCCCCTCTGCATTGCACCAGTTGCACTGATCTGGCACTGAGGGGACTGGATTCGGCATCCGACACAACAAAAAAAGCTGACTCCTGAGTAATCAACCCTTCCTAGTAACAGGAGGGTGTCACCCAGAAAATTTGAAGGATCTCCCCCCCAAAACGGTATTCATCAACTCGGGGCTTATGACTCTGGAGGGATCATCAACTTCCAATTGCTTCAGAAACCTGGAAAAACCATATTCCCAGCAGTGAAACCGAGCCCCTTTAAAGAAAACAAAATACAACATGTTCATTTCAGCAAATGGAAATCAATGCGATCATGTCCCTCATGAAACCAACAGGTTGCAAAGAAACGCCTCGCAAGTCCAATCCTGTATCGAAGACAAGGTTTCTGAGCCATTTCCCTTCTTGGAACCTTCAAAAGTGTCAGTTTCAAGGGAAACCACCTGTAAACTGCTCAACTTTTGATTTGGGGCAATCCGGTGACCGCGTGAAGCTTCTTCCAAAACCGGAAAGCCGAAAGCAACAGGTCGAGGACTCGCCCTGGAACGCGAATTCCGGGCCCGGGAGCCGGCAAAGTCGCGAAGCCAGACCTACAGGCAGCGGCAATGCTGACATCATGAACCCTAATGTGGACGAAATCCATTTCGCACAATTTGAGAAACCCTGGAACCATGATTCCCTGTAAATACCAAACAACAACCAGCACAATGGTTTGTTGTGGCTAAAGTGGGAGGATTCCGTGCTAGGGTCCAGGATCGCGGCAATGAGGGGTCCAAAATTGGAGCGTCTGGCGACGACTAAAACGACGCTTAACATTTGGCTTTCTTCCCTCCACGACCAGATTGGGGTCTATGAAGACATGTGGCTACTTGTCAAACCCTGCGCTCTCCAAATACGCCCCCGACTTCCCTGCAACTTAACATGGACCACCAAAAAAATCAACAAACACACAAAAAAAAACGTTCAGAGGCGAAAGTCTTTCAGGTGCCCTTTGTGGGGTTCCATGCCCGTCTTCAGAATTGCAGTGTTCCAAAGCAGGAACAAGAGCCTTTCATTGGTCCTCGGTGTGTGTGCGTGTGCGTGTGGAAAATGGACTCTTTGCCTCTTTGCCTCAGCGGTGATTGCCATTCCGACGACGACTTTTACCATCAAACCTAGGCAAAGGAGGGTATATCGATATTACAAAGCAGGACCCTAAAACCAACATTTCCCACCCAATGGACCCCTCCTCCTGAATCGCCGACGCGCGGCTGTGGCGCTACTCATATCGGGAACGGTCATCAAGCGCAAACTGTCGACAAAGACTTCCTCTGAATGACTTGGTTTGAGAAGCCTTAAACAAAGCGTGCACCGAGGCTTCGCAGAAAACTAACAACAAGCTAACAACCACCACCGCATAACCAAGGCCACGGGCAAGGCCAGTTAGGAATCAAGTGGCGTACAATAGCCGTTTGTTCGACCTGGCCGTTCTTGACAGTACGCAATGTGCGACACATATGCCAAAGCAACATGATGTCATCTGTGGCTTCAAATTCATGCCCCTACATTGGCTTGACACACACGTGGCATCTGTTTGCAAGTTCAAAAAATGCATACTCGGCGCAAACACTGTAGAATCAAACATGCACATTTCAGTCGATAAAGAGCGTACAAGCTCAACACATGATCAACACTATCTCCAAGCACCCCCCCAGACAAGTACCCTCTCCCGTACGCTCCCGTATTGGCTTCTTCGCCGAACCTTACAGGCATGCAACCAAAGACATAGACATCGCAGAAAGTGGATGTCCAAGCCCCGATTCAAATTTAGATAGATTCCATCAGGGCTTTGTAGATTTCCTCTTAGAACATCACCCACACCAAGGGACACTCACCTTTCATGGGCCAGAAAAGGTAATGTTAACCACCAAAACGATGGAAACATAGGAATCGACCCCTGTACAACATATTCCCTTCTCCACGTTGCCAACACGCCGTGGGCAAAAAACCAAAGTAGGTCATCCCCGGGGGTTGGAAGTTGGTACAGATCCTCTGTTCTATTCAAGGAAGAACAAAAAACGCAAGCTGAGCTCGCTTGCCCACTTGTGAACATGGTTCATGTTAGCGTACACTAAAAACGCGACTTTAAACGCAACAAAGGAAATATGATGTAGGACATGAACCATTGTCCAAAGCAAATCGGCCTGACATCACCGTTTGGGGTTCATATTTTTGGCATACGTTTGCACATTTTGGCACCCAGTTTTAAGATTCCA